GCTTTTACAATGGCGTGATGACCAAATTCCTTATGTAAGAAATCAAAGGTCTTGCATTGCTTCAGAGGAAAATACAGCTCTTAGTTACCCATCCCTGGGGATGAAAGGGGAACTCGGCCCTGGTTGGGTGGCTCAATGGTTGGAGCGCTGTCCTATGCACCAAAAAGTTGTGGGTTCCACCCCAGTCAGGGCCCCTGCAGGAGGCAACCAATGGACATTTCTCTCTCTCTCTCTCTCTCTCTCTCTCTCTCTCTCTGTCTCTTCTTCCCTCCCCTCCTCTCTCCTTCCCTCTCTCTAATATCAATAAAAACATTAAATGGGAGCGTGTAGGCCAGTGGTTCTCAACCTTCCTAATGCCGCGACCCTTTAATACAGTTCCTCATGTTGTGGCCCCCAATTTCATTGTTACACATTGAACATAATTAAAGCATAGTGATTAATCACAAAACAATGTGTAATTATATATGTGTTTTCCGATGGTCTTAGGTGACCCCTGTGAAAGGGTCGTTCGACCCCGAAGGGCTCGCGACCCACAGGTTGAGAACCGCTGACGTAGATGATAGTGACCAGAAGCCAGAGAAAGGGACTTTGTTAGGTCGTCTGCTTTCATTCTGAGTTTAACCAAAGCCTGGGATGCTGTTCCCAGACTAATCCCATGTGGCACCAGCCCATCACCCTTGACCTGGGTCGGGTATTTCATCCAGGTAACGAGAGAATTGTGTTCACGTCTATGAAACCAAACTGGTAACAGAGGATTGAAGAAGATACATTAAGAGAGAAATGTGTGGGTGGATGGTTTTCATTAATATTTTTACTCTTCAAGTCATGCTTTTGTCTGCAGCTTTTATTCAAACCCTGTTTAAAAACTGTGATAATGTGTGCCCAGAATTTATACAAATATTTTGGGGCCTGGCAAAATCTTCCAAAATTTTGATATGCAAAAGATATATGGCCAAAACCGGTTTGGCTCAGTGGATAGAGCGTCGGCCTGCAGACTGAAAGGTCCCAGGTTCGATTCCGGTCAAGGGCATGTACTAGGGTTGCGGGCATATCCCCAGTAGGAGATGTGCAGGAGGCAGCTGGTCGATGTTTCTCTCTCATCGATGTTTCTAACTCTCTATCTCTCTCTCTTCCTCTCTGTAAAAAATCAATAAAATATATTAAAAAAAAAAAAGATATATGTATATATGCACTCTGAGCAAGAAACCACACCACGCTTTATATATGTATTCTTCTCAGAGAGAATTTAGGTCACAGGTTCATACTACCTGTGTTCTGCCCTCGAACAACATTTGAAATACATGAGAATGTGTGCACAATTTACTGCTAAGGAATATAGCCAATAATCGCTGGAATTGTTAGCCTTTGAAGTCCAAGTCACTTGCTTTGTGTGACAGGAGAAACTGGCTTTTCAGAGGACGACATGTGGCAACTATTGAAGTGAGTTGAGAACCTTAACAAAAATGGCCCAGTTCTTTTCAAATGTTTTGATTAAACGTACTCCATAGAGATGGGAGGCCTCTAGACGAAGAATTGCTGCTGCGATGCTCATTGAGGGAAATTTAAGCAGCCGGAGCTCTGTGCGGCTCCGTGGGCAGGTAAATGTTCCCCAGGCCGCCTGCATAATCCAACTTAATGACGCGGAGACATTCTTGGATTGATTGCGGGAAACGTGTCTATCTTTTGCAAAAACTGTTATTAAAGCGAGGATGCTGGGCTATTTCTCTCTCACTGTGTAGACCCCTCGGAACATGGGGCCGCCCCGGCTGCCTGTCAAGGCCCTGCCTCCTTCCCACACGTGCCCGCCCCCAGGAAGGTGCCTGAACAGGGCGATTGCTCTTTGGTCGGAAGTTCTTTTCTTACGTGGCTCGTGGATGGATCCATGCTTCTTTGAACACTGAATGCAAACTATTAGACTCGCCATCATGTTCTAGGACAGCGGTCGCCAACCCGGGTCCGTGGGCCACTGGTGGTCTGTGAGGTACGCAAGGTTGGCGACCGCTGTTCTAGAACTTTAGAGAAGAGGCTTGCAGGCACATCCCCCGCCCTGAGCGTGGAGAACTCTAGTAGCCGGGGAAGCCAGGATTCTGGGCAGCACCTGCTTGACGGGGCGCCTCAGACCTGTCAGCCCCGAGTCTGGACCCTGCAGAGCTCGGCTCCGGCCGGGGCACACCGTTAGCCAGTCAACCAGGACCTGGAGGGCGGGCTGCGGCCGGCAGTCAGGCTGCCCACTGCCCACAGCAGCACGGATTGTGCTCCAGCAAAACCACGTGGAAGGTGAGAAGGAATGAATCCCTTTTCCCTGGACGATGGCTGCGGTCTTATCTCTGGTCTTATCACTGGTGGCTTGGCAGAGCTCAGGGAAGGATGAGGGCTAATTAGTAAGAGATGCGCATCGCTTGTGCGAAAGCAGACGCCAGGTTTGGGTCTCTTTTGCCAAATGACTTTCGCGTAAATTTCAAAATCTCCATCGCAGGTTCATTTCCTTGGTCTCAGACCAGCCGGCGAGAGCACAGTGCGAGGGCGGTGCTTACGGGCTGCTGTGCGAGGAGTTTGGAAGGTCAGGGCGTTTCCTCACTGGGAGCAGCTGGTTGGGTTCCATGGAAAGCGCACTGCCTTTCGTTGGAAAGACGGTTTTGTTTTCTCTGTCGGCCTCAGTGTGGTGACCAGGAGGGGCCTCCGTCTCCTCATCTGTAAGGTGGGAGAGTAACGAGGCTGCAAAGGCTGTTTAAGCCTCCCCCCCCCCCCCCCCCCCGGGCGCAGCACCTGTTAGAGCCCTGGGAGTGCAGCACCTGCTGTTAGAGCACCAGGCACAGCACCTGCTGTTAGGGCACCGGGCTCGCTGGGCTGCGAGGAAAGGCGTCTGGGAAAACCTCCGCGCTCGCTGGGCAGCCCGGCCTGGAGGGCCTGGAGCAGGAAGAAGCTGGTGCTGTTGTTTCAGGAGCCCTGACACTTTATCCTATTTAAGACCCTCTTCCTCCTCCCGCTTTCTGACAGCCCGACCCTGCCTTCAGCCATCACCTGTCAACAGCTTTACTCAGTGCTGAGAAGAAACGGGGCCTGATTAGCTGGAAAGCCAGTCTCTTAATCGCCAGGTGGAGCGGCTTTCCTTGCCCCCCACCCGTCTGTCTCAGGGTCTGCCAGACCTGCCAAGCCCGCTTCGAACCCGAGTCCCCACTCCCAGCAGGTGCTTCCTCTGCGCTCCCTGCACCAGCGGTCCCGGCTCCGCCCGGTTCCCGGGACGGGCTTGGCGGTTCAGTCGCGTTTAACCGCCTCCATTCCTCAGGACCCGCGGGGGCAGAGCTCTCCACTCCAGAGCCGCCTCTGCAGACGTAGCGGTGACGCCCAAGGAACTGGAGCGAAGGTGTGGCCACCAGCATCCTCCGCGGGGTCCTGACAATCAAATGAGAGGATAAGTTGGACAACACGGCCTCTCCGGGCTCGCTCACCAGCCTCCTGCTGGGCCACTGACCTTCCCCGTCCTCCGGGGACCCTTTCCAAGGTCAAGGACAGAGTCAGGAAGGACGATCGTTCTGTGACTGTCCTGGTTGATCTGTTGCTGGGGTGACACGGAACCAAAAACTGTCTAGGCCTCACTTTTTCCCTGGTGAGTGGTCACTGTTTTGGCATCAGTTGCCGTATTTAAACCTTTGTTGTTTTCTTTCCTTTTTAAAAATATATTTTTATTGGTTTCAGAGAAGAAGGGAGAGGGAGAGAGAGAAAGAAACATCCATGATGAGAGAGAATCACTGATCAGCTGCCTCCTACACGCCCCACACTGGGGATCAAGCCTGCAACCCGGGCCTGTGCCCTTGACTGGAATCGAACCCTGACCTCCTGGCTCATAGGTCAGAGCTCAACCACTGAGCCATGCCGGCCGATGTTGTTGTTTTCAAATAGGTAGAGATTTCCAATGGTGCCTCCATCATTTCCCTGCCCCTCCCCCATGCGCTGCTCGCTCCCCCTCTCCCCCCTCGCTGAGTTGTGCAAGTGTGGCTGAGAGCCTGTACTTGGTTGCGTGGGCTCAGTGTTCTGTAGCCTTTAGTAGACAGGTTTCCTTCCCTTGCTTTCGCCTGGACGCCTGTAGGCGTCGTGATGAAGCATTCGGGAGGCGAGCACTCACAGACGCAGACGCTCCAGGCAGAGGCAGGAGGTGAGAACTGGAGCGCACTGCCCAGGGTCGGGGTCAGGCGGCCTCACGTCAGCCGCAGTAATGACAGGCATCTCCGTCCTAGAGGGAGGCTGGCAGCTGAACCAGGTGTGTGGGCACAGCGTCGAACTGTTTCAACTCCTCGGGCACCTGCTGACGGTCGCGTCTCCCTGCCCGGGGCCTCACCTGAAGGTGGACGTGGCCCCTGTGGGGGTGGAGGGGCTCACAGTGGATGTTGGTTGAGGATCCCCCAGGTCCTCACGGGCACCTGTGGCGGATGCAGCCGGGAGCGTGTGCGGATGGCGGGTCTCAGCTTGGGTCCCAGAGCAGCCTCAGCATCACCCGGGAATTGGATTCCAAAGCCAGTTTCAAGCTGTGATTGCGGAGCTGGGGTGGCTGGGCCGGAGACACGTGTGAAGAGCCCTCTAGGCGGGTGGTTCGCCTCTGACGCCCGCAAAGCCGCCTGCGTGCTGTGGCAGCTGCGCGGGACACGGGTTGTTTCAAGCAGCTGGTGTGCTCAACTCTCACTCGGAAAAGTGCCTGAAGAATAAGACTGGTTCTCGGAAGCCACGGTTAATTATGTTTTTTCTAAGATGATGTAGAATTAATTAGCTCGAATGACTGCAGACTTGGCCTATGGGTAGGTCAGGCCCCCAGATGGGATAATCTGTTAGTGAAAAGAACAGAGCTGTCCGTCACGTGGACAGTTTTTAAATAACATTGGTTATACTTCAGGAAGAGCGTGGGGTGCTGCCCCTTCACTTAGGACTTCTCTGTCCTTCGTGAGAGTGACAGACGTGGACGGGAAGCCGGCACCTGATTGAACCCGCTGCGTGTCTCTGTGTTTCAGGTCCCAACTGCTTTGCCGAAACCGCCGTCATCCCCGCCGGGCGAGAAGTGAAGACGGACGAGTGCACCGTCTGCCACTGCACCTACGAGGAGGGCACGTGGCGGGTCGAGCGGCAGGCCACGTGCACCCGACACGAGTGCCGGCAGCGGTAGGCCCCAGCCGCATGAGAACGCCGGCTCCTTCTGGAACACTTCCCTGATGCGAACATTCCAGGGGGCTCTGGGAAGTGCCACCCAAAAGGAGACTTTTGATGAGGGACAATGGGGGATTGTCGGGACTTTTGCTTTTCTTGGTAACAATTACTGCAAGAGAAGGAAGTGGATATAGTTCAGAACATCACCGAGAACTCTGGGCAGGAAGCCCCTCTCTCAATAAACGTGCTATTTTCAGAGCAAGTGCAGTCAAGTCCACTGTTCTCTGTGCGAGGATTTCTATCCCCCGTCAGAGAGCTCACCGCTGTTTTCTATAGACACAGATTAAGATGCTGTGCTGCCCACCGTCCGCACTGTGCACCTTCTCAGTTCTGTCCCCATCACGTGACATCGTTGGGGGCTGATCCTCCTCCACGTCTCGGAACGCTGTACCCATGAGCAGGTCATGAAATAATGGGGCTGATTTCTCCTGGGGCCCTGCCCACATGCGGTTTCCTTTCAGAGGTATATCTAGCGTCTGTCCTTAGAAGGCCCGGTGTGATTCACACAAATGTAATGTTCCCGTCTTGCACTTTATTGCTGTTGTCACCTCCATGCTGTCGCTTGGAAAATGCAGGTATCAGGTAACTAACGGGCACTTTTTCTGTCCATCTGAAGCACCCTGCTGGATGGACACATACATGTTTCATTTTCACTGACATTACTTTGTCTCCTAATCATGAATTTAAATTGTCCCCTAGACCGAGGAGCAGGGTGAGCTGGACAGCTTGCACCATTGTTCTGTCCAGCTGAAGCAGGCAGGAAAATAGGGAGTCCCTTGACTGACTGGAGGGGGGTTAAGGCAGATGAACTCCTGATTGAGTCTATGCCTGAAGTCTGAATGGGCACAGAAACCCCAGCACTCCATTCAGTGGACTCACGCTTCTCCTCAGAATGACCACAGCTTTGGCTCTAAATTACGATTACCCAAAATTTTAAAGATAAAGCATATTATCAAAGTTGAGGAGGCACCCAGGCCTATGAGACAAGCTGAACACAAAGGGCAGAAACCAAGAACAATAGGGACAGAGTTACAGGGTCTCCAAAGAGTGGAATAATCAGAACCCATGCAAGATAACAGTGCTGTGCTCAAGGAGGTACAGGATAAAAATGCAAATCTCAGCAGAGTCTTAGAAACCTAACGGGCCAGTCAAATGGAAAAGAACCAAGAATTTGGAACTGAGCCAAGACCAGTTTGGCTCGGTTAATAGAGTGTCGGCCTGCGGACTGAAGGGTCCCAGGTTCGATTCTGGTCAAGGGCATGTACCTTGGTTGTGGGCGCATCCCCAGTAGGAGGTGTGCAGGAGGCAGCTGGTCGATGTTTCTCTCTCATCGATGTTTCTAGCTCTCTGTCCCTCTCCCTTCCTCTCTGTGGAAAATCAATAAAAATATATATTAAAAAAAAAGAATTTGGAACTGAACAATATAATAACTAAGATTAAAGATTCAGTTGAATGAGTTTAACAACATATTAGACATAGTTTAAGAGAAAATGGTGAACTTGAAGACAGAGCACCAACAAGAAGCACATGTAGAAAACGCATAAGGAAGCACAAGAGAGTAAAGAATGTGGTGAGCTTTTAAAGCTACAGAGGGAGAGAATGGAGCAGAAGCAACACTGAACAGGTAATGGCTGATAGTCCTCTGAAGCTGATGGACCACGTGCAGTGAAGAGTTCCAGAGTAACACCACTACAGTGAAACAAGGGAAATGAAAATCCCAAGCAGCCAGAAGACAAGTGCTGATTCCATTCACAAACAATTATAATGATATGGTATCCAAAGGAACCATGGAATTCTGGAGACAGTTGGATATTTTCAATGTGCAGAAGGAAAATAACTGCTAATGTAGAATTCTAGACACAGAAATAGCACCTATAGATCACTACGGTACCCACAGGTGCCCCTCAAGTCTCATGCGGAGGCTTCCATTGTTTTTACAAACAGTGTGAAAGTCATAGTATAGTTTTACTCCCTTGGCCTCTTTCTTACACATGTTGTTTAGGTGTATTTTAAATCTGACAAGTCTTTACTTTTATTTTTCTAATAGCCACTATCGATTTAGCTATATACCCATATTTGTGATTTGATTCCTTCTTTCACTTTTTATTGCAGATTATTTTCTTCTGCCTGAAGAATATTTTTTGGTATATTTTGAAATGAATTTCTAGTAGTGGTAGTATTTTTCAGCTATTACTCAATTGAAAATATCTTTATGTTGACTGCATTCTTAAAGGACAAGGTTAGAAAATGGTGAAGGACCAACAATTATTTGATCTTGATAAGGATGTACGCTATAATTTATAGGGTAATATTTTTACATTTAACTGGTGGAATGAAAAGGAGACAAAATAATAATAAAAGATATAGAAGACCTGAATATTAGAATTAACAAAGTTGACCTAGTGGACAGGTACATAATTCTTCTTGAAAAAATTATGGGACACATATTTTTTAAAGTATATGTGGAAAATTTATAAACAAAGACTTCATGCTGAGCCATAGTACATTATAAAGAACTGACACCACACAGAATGTAAATCCTGACGCCAGTTCAGTGAGACTATACGTTATGAGAAAAGCCAAACAAAAGCTCTTCCTATGTTGCAAATTAAGAAATAGAATTCTAAATGTCCCTGGGACAAAGGAGATGCCACAATAAAAACCGTAACCCTAATGCCCTTGATCATGAACAAAACGAGAGGGCAGGCACGAGTAGCCAGTGTCAGGAATGGAAGGGGAGGCGTCGCTGCAGACATGGCGTCAGTGCTCACGGCGGGTCACCAGTCCCCTTGCTCCTCACATGGGAAGACAGGCGCTTGTCAGAGCTGTGACACCTTCACTCCCTGCCATCCCCAGCGCCTCCTACAGTGGGCACTGCAGCTTCCCATCCACTTTTACCCCAGGACACGCAGAGGATGGGTGGCACTCCTCCGTCCCAGGTGCCATGGCATGGCATGCAGGTTCCCCCGGATGTTGGGGGTCAGCCCTTGTACAGTCCCCTCCTTTTGGCCGCTGGTTCAGCAGCACGAGGTGGACGTTCTGGGTTGCAATTTAATAGAAGCGTTCCTCCCTCACACAGTACCTCTGAGCTCGCCTTGTCCCAAACTGCAGAGACGAGACATGCTTTGCTACTAAACACGGCGTAATCGTGAGAAGCCACTCCTACCGCCCTCCCTCCAACACACGCACAGTTCTGGAACCCATGAGTTTAGCTATAGAAGCAGCACCGCCAACCATCCCTGTCACACAGGTGGGGAAAGTGCCAGGGGCTCCCACTAGGCCCTTCTTACAGCCACCACCGTCGCTCCACAGACATAAAATCAATGAGGGACACGTGGCCAGCTGCCATCACTTGGCGATTTAGAGCGGAACTCGTACCCTGGAGGACGGTGCCTCCCTACTCAGCGCTGCCACTCGGCTGGGACCATCAGAGTCTGACGGGCTCCCCACAGCCCGCAGTCCAGCTGCTCCAGGACATGGGGTCCGTGGAGTTACCAGTAAATGACGAGAGTGGAAGCCCACTGCAGAGCTCATTTCCTGTCCAGTGAGCACCCGCTCAGCTGCAGTGTTGTGATAAGCATGACGACAGCGATAGGAAGCATGCAGTACGATCACAGACGGTGGAGTGGCAGGAATTCTGGAGAGCAAGTCCACTCCAGCTCCAGTGGGAACGGAGCGCTGGCCCTTCGCGGGGAAGCTGGCCAGGGGAGCCGCCTGCTGCCCGGTGCTGGCGGGCTCCTTGTTGGGCTCTGACTGCGTGGGAACACGGGCACCCAGAGGGGCTTGGTCAGATGGCACCTGGTAGCCCAGCAGAACGTCCATCTCTGTCCCCGAGACAAGGACAAGGACGAGGAGCTGCCCACGGGCCGCAGAACGGCCGTCTTGTCCGTTGGCTGAGCAGGTCCTCCAGTTTCTCAGGGCGTTCGCTCTCCGCACAGGTCCGTTTCCTCCCAGCACCTCGGTACCAAATTCCCACTCTTGTTCTTCCAAGTCCCCGACCATTGACTTGTTTACAAATGTCTGCAGCTCCACACCATCAGCTCTCATTCCCCAAGTGGGGAAGCAGATGCACGGCTCCAGATTCCACCTGTGCAAGGTGCCCCTTTTCCACGCCCCTCAGCCCCGAGGTGCCTGCGGCTGTCCACTGGGGGGCGCTGTCAGCCAGCTGGAAGTCTGCTCCAACATCTCCCCCCTGAATGTGTCGCAGAGAAGTCCCCAGGAGCTGGTAGACAACACAGGCAGAAGGGAGGAGGCGCGAGGAGGAGCGTGAGACCCTGAGCCACTTGCTCATGGACCGCACTCTGCCGTCAGGACCCGCCTGAGCCCAGCTCCTTACACACCAGGCTCCCCCGGGGCTCACGGAGCTGCTGTGCACACCCCACTTCCTGGCTCAGTGTCATGCAATTGTACACGTGACTCTCTCACCTGGACACCTGTTTCAGTCCAGTCACAGGTTCTACCCTCACTCAGGGGAGAGGGTTCTCCAGAACAGAACTCAGGGGACGGCCCCTCAGTGTGTCTGGCATGGCCTGTGCGCCCCAGACGTCTGATCCAAACTGCTCAGACACCGCAAGGCCTTTGACGTGGAGGGTAGGTTACGGGGTACTAGATACCCTGCAACTGCCAGGACTCAGGTCAGGTCTGGGCTCAGAAGCAAAGGCAAGACGACTGTGGGAGGCAGAGCTTCCTCCTCTCCTCGGGCAGGCGGCTGCCTCTTGACACAAGCAGCCCAGGAGGTGGTGGGAGCCGGGCTCAGCTCCCATGTCCTCATGGAAGGGCCCAGTCTCTTTCCCGAGTGATGCCCCACCTCTCACATGGGAAACGCCTCAGGTGGTGGGCAGGTGCCTTGCCGCTGGGCCCACAGAAGTCCGCAGGGAGGGCGGCTGTTGCCGCAGGAAGAAAGGCCTGCTTCCCTGGAAGCCATAGAAAGCTTCTGGGTCTCAGGCCCAACTTCACATTCCCCCACCAAGTGCAGGGAGAGCAGCTGGCCCCTGGGGCCCATACTTCCCTCTCCATTAAAGAGCCCCACCTGCCTGCTGGGGGCACTGACGCCGGCCTCAGGGGCACTGGGCCTGGGTGATGGGGGGCCACTCAATTAGAAAGCTGAGCAACCACGGGTTTTGTAAGCTGCTCATGTATTTTCCTGGTGCTTAATCTTTACAATTCCTGGTAGTTTTCATATTCTGACAGCTTTGCAGTGTGAGCAGGAAGTGTGAGGTGGCGGAGGCCCTGTCCTTATACCTTTCACAGCTCAGAAATGCAGAGGGTGATCACTGTTTTTGTTTGTTAAACTTTATTGCTATTGCCCATCCGTTCCCCAGAGGCATTCTGGGGGAAATTGTTTCTCTCTGTCACCTCCTTGTGGAAGTCACACCTTCCTTTAGGCACACACAACGATTACTCCATTTGAAAATGTCAAGAAGGTAATTTAAAGGACTTTAAAATAAAAACTTAAAGACTGCCACCCATTGTGTTGTTGGCATGAGACCTTACACAAGTGGCTAAAAACTGCAATAATAAGACTAACAGTCTTTTTAAAAAGTGACTTTGAACTATGAAAGGTCAAACTAACAGAAATCAAATCCCATGGTTGCGGGAAGCAATGCAGTTACAACGGTGGAGCCGGTGGCCGGAGGCAGTCGGCAGTGCAGGGAGCTGAGCCCTTTCTGGAAGAGCCCCACCAGCCTGATGCAGTTTTGCGACTACTTTTGAAAAGCGATGACCCAGGAGGTATTCTGGACTCATACGAATGAGCACGGAGTCCTGGATGCTCCCCTCATGAAACATGTGGGCACAGAGGGCTGCAAGTGAAATGATGACACCATTTTTTGGTAAAATCTGATACATTTAATTTTGCATAATAGTGATTTATTATGTGTTAATATTTCAAAACTATCTGTCCATGTGACAAGCCCCACAGCACAGCACCTACAGGCAGGTTTTGGCCCCGAAGAGCAGGCTGCTGTTGCAGTGCAGGCAGTGCGTCCCGTCGCTGGGGTTGTAGGAGCCGGGGCTGCAGATCACTGCGGAGAGAACAAGGGTGAGAGCGTGTCCCCGCCACGCCAGCCAACCGCGCACGAGGGCCACTTCCTAAGATGCCTTGTACTTGAACACGTCATTGGTTTTTAACTGTGGTAACACACGATGGCACGTAACATACGGTGTGCCATCTGGCCATTCTTAAGTGTGTGGCCAGTAGTGTTAAGGACCTTGCCCTGCTGCACAACTATCTCCAGATGTTTCCACTGGGGACAAGCTGCAGCTCCTGCCTCTCACACTCCCCCTCTCCCCTCCCCAGCTCTGCAGCCCCCATTCTGCTCCTTGTTTCTGTGAAGTCTGACCACTCGAAAGACTTCATACAAGTGAAAAGTCTTAACCGTTTACTCCGATCCGGCTGAGACTGACTGTGAGCTACAAGTCTTACTGGTCACATAATGTTGAGTTTAAAGGTTGACTGGGCCGTCCTGTAAGTTACAGCAGAAGCCACGGAGGTTAAGACCCTGGGTGGACCGAATGTGACTGGTATCGCCCACAACAGCCATGACTTAGAGGTTAAAGACAGCCAATATGGAAGGATATGTACCGCATTTCTAACAGTATCTCAATTCAAGCCTATTTAACAATTGCTAAATGTGTAATTTTGAAAAAAAAATTACTTAGCGGAACTGGAGTTGGATCATCCCCAACATAAGAATAACATATATCATATCATGAATGTGTTACCAGCTACTCTGCATAACAGAAAGTAAAGAAGGTAGAAAAAACAAGGACTCAGACCGGAAAGCATCCAGTGTCACTAACCACTCACTGCCCACTCCTCCCACTGGGCGGAGGCGGCGGCAGTCATGTGATGCCCGCCCCCTGACTGGCGGGTCTGACCCTCGCCCTCCTTCTGCCCCTGCACCTGCAGCCACCAGGGCTCGCCAAGGCCTGGAGGCCGGGATCCTGGCCTCAGAGAAGACCCTTCCCCGCACCATGATGCGAAAATGCACGGCATTGTTTGGATCTGGGCCAGATGCTATTTTTTAACCTCATAGCTTTCTTTTTAACACATATTTTTTCGAACTGCAAAATATTTAAACTGTTATTCAGAGAAATAATTTCCCATTCTCGGTTCCACGGAGTTCTTCAAGTATTAACAGACATTTTATTTGGGGACTAATACTTCAGATGGAAAAAATACTGGTTGAACAGTTAGCTAGATTTATTTCCTGCAGTAATAAGGATGCTGAGGTGGCCACACATGTGGTAAACTCTACTGCTGTCATGTCATGCTTCCGAAGGCCTGTGCCATGGCCCGCCTTCTCACACACACGTGGAAGCGCTGGCCGCGGCCCCGCGTGTGGACTCGGCGCGCACCGAGAGGGGCACGTTTCGGGCGCCACGGAGAGCGGCACCGGGACAGCAGCTCCTCTATCAGCTGTGTGCTGACTGCGTTCAGAGCGGAGGAGACTGCCTAGACGGTCCATGTAATAGCACCGCGGGGGGGGAGGGGGGGGGCTGCAGATGCGGATGGCTCTCTCTCCAAGTGAACAGCCTAACGCACTCTGTCCTCTTTTCAGTGGTTGAGGAAAATACTAAAATGTTATTAAAGCACCAAATCAGTGGAAGAGGCCCATCTGAAAGGCTGCGCACAGCACGGTTCCCACCACCTGATGTTCTGTGGAGCAGAGCCAGGGAGGCCGTAGGTCGTTGGTGGTGAAGGGACGCGGAGGGGGACAATGGGAGGATCCGGGTGAAGCTCCTGGGTGACACTATGATGGCGGATCATGTCACTGGACATTTGTCCAAAACCCAAAAATGTACAGCGGCCAGAGCGGCTCAGACCCTCTGGCGCCAGGAGCCAATCAGGAGAACAGCCGGTAACGAAGCCGCTCCGTGCTTCCTCCAGGGAGAAGGGGCGTGGTCCCTAGTCCAGCCCACACGCGCTCATCGGGAGTGGATGCCAAAGGGAAGGTGACTGGACTCTTTTTCGGGTAAAGAACTCTGGCTCGTAACTACTGTTCCCCCTACCCCCCACCTCCCAACCCCCCACCTCCCACTGCCCAGCACGCCTCACCCTCTTTGCTGTATTAACCCCTTGGCGGAAATCCAGCCTTTTCTCTTTTATATCCTCAGACTCACAGTCTTTTCAAACACTGTTTCCGATAAACTAAGAAATGATTGCGTGTGGAAAAGCGCATGCTAGGTGGTCACTTAGGCATAACGGACAGACGCGCCTGCTCATGAACGCGAAGCCGGGAGCGCGGGCCAGGGCCTACCGCAGCACTCGGGGCACTTGGGATGCTTCGCAGCACTGATTCCGTAGCCGGGAAAGCAGCGGTTGATCCACACCATCTGCAGGGTGTCTTCAATGTAGTATATCTGAGGCAACGGGCTGGCACGTCGGCCGAGAACTTCTACTTGTTGACTAAAAAATCTCTCTATGAGGTTTTTAGCCTAAAACAGAAACACAACGTGAAAAAATTATTTTCATAAATGAGTGTGATTTAGATACATAAGGCTGCTGTGTATTTAGAAGCAGGGGAGCCCACATTCTTGAGGTTCTCTCTTTTCTCTGCATTCATAGGATGTAGATAATACGTGAAAATTGAAGAATGTCAACTGCAGACCTCAGCTACTTCCCAACGCCCTTCGAACACAACCCAGAGAAGCCACTGGACATACACCCACACATTTTGGTCGCTTGGGGTTTTGAATGATATGTGGATGGGCCTATGAGCGAAATCAAGACTTTTCTATGAAATTAAATGTCCTCCAGGAAATGCACCCAAACAACCCAACGCACTGAAAGCAAAGACTTTAAGAGTCTTTAAAGAGGGTATGTCCTGACGCAGCCCCTCCACACTCCACCAGCAAAAACCAGGTTTAAACATGTCACAACTTCCAGTTCTGTGACCCCAAAAATTAAATTTACAAGATAATCACCATATCATTGTAACCCATAATTAATTACATTTTTGTCTGTAATAATTATTCTGGATTGACTAATAAAATTAACAAGAGGCATATACTCTTCAATGACTGGCCATTTTACCTGTTGAAGAAAGAGGTGTGGCCATGGAGGCAAACCCTCTACGAGCCGGTGGCTTCTGCTGGGTTCTCACCAGCTAGCTTCCCCTCTGACCTAGTCAGGAGCATGGGTGAACAGGCTCTCGCTAGCCGACAACCACTAACGGTGCACCTCAAACACCGCACAAGGTATATTCCTTCCATAAAAATGTCTGTAAGTAATTATTAAAATGCTTTCCATATACTTCTTTCTACCCATATATAATTCTAATTCCATTACTCAGTTATTATCTTTTTATAGTTTAAGTGGTTTTCTTGAACTTTTAATAAATTCAGGTGAATTTGTTGATACTTATTTGGTCAAACATAAATTTTATTTAAGAAAGTACTTAAGAATTAATTAGAGATAGAAATATGGTATCTAATTAACTATGTTTAATTGCCAAACTCGATTAAAAGTGTCAGGAAACACTTAGCTTCCTAACTCTGCATCCAGTAAGTAAATAATAAATATCAATGAAACAAACCTCGCAAAACCCGATGGGAATTAAAAAGACCATGTAAACCAGATGCCTATTTCTTATGTTCCCTCTAGGAAAAGAGTAAGGACAGAATATAGATGGAAGGTGGGGAGAGGTACAAGAAGGTATAGGGGAGGTAAGTGGTGACGGAAGGAGACTTGACTTGGGGTGAACAACAATTCAATATACAGATGATAGATTATAGAATTGTACACCTGAAGCCTGTTATTTTATTAACCAATGTCACCCCAATATACTCAATAAGAAACATATACTTTAAAAAATAAATCACTAAAAAGAAATCATCACCTTTTCAAGTGCAATACCTACACCTTAAATTGGAAAGTTTTACAATCATCATAATATAAATAATTTAATATTCCAAATATTTAAAAATAGTTTTATAAAGTATATATGGTCATTTAGAATACTTAGAGATAGGAAAATATCACCATAAGTTTACTGATCATGACAACATATTGAGTATAATGTAAAAGAAACAAGTAAATTAAATTGCTGCTGGGAGTTAAAGTGTAATTTTCATCTTAAGCTAAATAAATGGGAATCATCTTAATATAATCAGAATGTTAAATTCAAAGTATTTCATCAAAATGTTGCAAACCTTAGCATTTACTACTTCATGAAGTTTTACTATCACTGTTGAATTCCCTCAGTGTGTGTGGGGACTGATTTGCTTCACGAGTAGCTAAGATGCTTGCTTGCACCTCACACACCGGGCATGCTCATTTCTTTGCTTATTTCCAGCCTCACACATACCTTAGACAGCCTTTTGGAATGGTCACAAGTATTGTCGTCACATGGCTTGGGTTCTTTTTCAGTATCTATACATGAAACTGAGAAAACACAGTACATTTGATCATGGATCTAATATATTATATCGTAATATTTCCAGCTTGTAGCTAAATGTCATAATAGACATTCCTTATACTAAATTCCATCCTAAAGTAAAATATCGTAGCAAGTTTCAGTTATGTGAGCTCTAACTTTTCACTAAGTACATAAATCAGGAGATGATTATTTGGGGGCTCTTAGAACCAAGTCAAAGTAAGAACAGGAACATAGTCAGATTCTAGCATCTACATGTGAGAACACGGCTGGTAATTCACAGGTCCCAGCACTGGCTTCCTGTTCTCAAGCTGTATTCTTTAGAGAATTGTATGTCCTTACCTGCAAATTTAAAAAACAATTCATTTTGAAAACCAGCTTTTTGCATTTTAACATGATGGCATTCCGACTTCTGTAAGGAAACTTCACACTTAATGTCATGAACCAGTTTGCTTAAAATCTGGAGAAGTTTATTCTCAAAAGAAATGTTATAGATGCTATTGCAAGGAGCCGAGTGGTATCGCGCTGTGAACTGGTAATAAAAGCGAGGCTCACGATACGCTGCGGAAAATGAACAGAGAGCAACACACAATAGTTACTGACGCAATTCCAATATATTGCAACAACTCAAGAGCAATCATTGCATGGAATAAAGCCATTATGTATATCAATTTAATAAGCAATTTATCTAAACATCACTGACAAATGCTATAATAGGCACTTTACAAATAGTAACTCATTTAAATTTCCTAACATCATTTAAGATTGGAATTATTTTTACTTTCATCTTGAGAAATTTAGGGATAAACAGACTGTCTACGCAAACAGCCCTGAAGAAAGATCTGCCCTCCCCGTGACCTCCTCGCACAGGACTCTGTGAAAGAGAGGCAGGCAGTAATTCCTCTTGAACTGAAAGAGTAAAAGTAACACATCCCTTTAACACAAACACGTTACAATAGTTAAATACTTGAAAACACAAAGAAGTGATAGCACGCGTGCGGGCGCCCTCCTTACCGTACACAATGAACTTGAGCTGGACGTTCTTAACCGCCTCCTCCACCGTAGGTTTGTACTCCAGGAAGCACGTGTAAGCGCCAGTCATACTCTCCTCAAAGTCCTGGAACACTAGGCTCCCTGTGGTGGTTATGTGTGTGGTGCTGTTTTCTAACAAAGAAATAAGATGCAGTCGTTTCTTAAATTACATGAGATTAAGGTAAAATAACCACCTATTTTCTAAACAAAGTAAAGCCATCGCCATTTATCTGCAGGACCATTCAAAGGAGTCGAGGGCAGAACCTGTGGTGGCATCTGGTGTTGTTGACGGCAGGTGCCAGGGTGACCGTGGTGTCAAAATGTCACTAACCTCAGCCCATCAGCTGTGTGGCTGCCTGAGTGGCAAGAGACGAATTCTACAAGGACGTTTCTAACTGGACACCAGGGCTGGGCATTCTCAGATACCTGTTCAGATGTACATACCTGCAGCTGTTTCCAGGTGTGAAGTGAAGATTATGGCTGTGCCTACTGCAAAGGCTGCTGCAAAACTAAGTGATTCGTCATGTGCAAACTGCTTAGACCTGCAGCTAGCACATGGCAAATATAGTATGTCTATAATTTTTATAAATTCAAAATAAAAATGTGAAAACATACTCTTGCAAAATACATACACATATATTTATACATAATATGTATTTGACTATGTGCCTTTACTAGTGTGTATGTGGTAAATGCACAGAGAAAAGCTAAGAAGCAAATTGTAGAAGTTCAGGGTAGTGTTTACTTGATAGAGGGGTTGGGAAAAGACTAAGGGAAATTTTAAAGCCACTTACTAAGAGGTTCAAACTGTAAATTTTGACTTGCACAGAGGGCTCATATGTGTTTGTTTATCATGCTTCATAACTTGCATGTATCTTATAAACACATGTGTATATCAGATGCTTCATAGTAAGGTACAGCTGAGATCATTCAGCTATATAAAATATTAAAACATGCTACAAAACAAACATTTCCCAAGACTGTTTCTTTAGCAAGTCTTTGTATGAATATGTTCCTCCTTCCTCCATCCAAGGTAACAACGTAAACCTGTGCGTTTTCATCCACAAGCACCATATCAATATACTAATAAGGTGAAGGAAGGAAGGAAAAGAGGGAGGGAGGGAGGAAAGGAGGGAGGGAGGAAAAAAGAAGGAAGGAATGAAGGGGGACAGAGCAATAAAGAAAAACTTCTTCAGGAGATGTGCAAAAATGATTAAGTGCTTCATTGAACAGACCTTCAAGATGAAAATTCATTCATCTGAATTTTCAAGGCTGAAAAGAACAGAGCTAAGCTCATCTACACGTTTGAATTGCACTGCAAAAATAAATTGGCTTTTAGCAAATGAAACATTAGAATAAAAATAAGATCTGCATTTCAAAATCACTAAATAAGAAGTTGAATGGAGAAAATGTGGATGAATCAGTCATACCAACAGTAACTGCCCCATGGGAAAAGTACCTGCATGAGAATAAGGTCTTGTTTCTCAAAAATGTGAAAAATGTAAGGCTACCATTCAGGTGTATCTTGAGCCCACTTTTTCCTCTGGATCTATATGCAAATGCTAAGTAACTCTCTTATAAGCACAAATAATATACTAATACACAACCACTACCAAACCATGCAGCATATTTAAAAGCATATTTTTGATATAATATATTCAATGTTAAATTTAGTCATTTAAAAAATATTTGATAATAATATTTAAATTAAAATCAAATATCCATATTGTCAGGATTTTGGTCAGAAGGAAATATAAAATCAAAAGTATAAAATTGTAACTACTATTAAGGTCCTGAATTGCCCCGGTGTGGGGCCATAGACAACAAGCAAAATCATACTTACAAGTAAGTCTATGGCTCAAAGTGTTCATTTGTATTTTTAACAAAAACCCGAATCCTATTTGCTTCTACATACAGACTATGAGTTACTACCATGAGTCTGGCTGAGGTAACCAAATGATTTCATGAACTTTAAAATAAAGGAACGCCTTTTGGAATGTAGATGCTTAGAGAACTTCCCAAACAGTTACGTCTGAATCTAAATTAAGGCCTGGGAAAGGTGGGCACACCATCCACACTGTTGGATCACAACTCCCAAAGGAAACCACAGGAACAAGAAGTGCGGAAACAGATGAATGAATATGAGATACAGATGTTCTTTTGCTCTTGTGTATCTCAGACATGTCGGTTCAGTGTCGCCAGCGGAAACCAAGGCCTACCTGAGATAATCTTCCCCTTGGGCCCGTGCCACTGGAACGAGGGGTCGATCAGCTCGGTATTCCGCAGCCTCTGGGTTACACATAACACGTGTGGACTTTTTTGATGGACCATAACATATACCTTCACTGAAATACAATATTAAAATGTTCCAATAACATTTCGTGCTTTCATATTTGCAGTTTGGATTACATGTTTTCATAAGTTTTCTTTGGATTATTGCTATTACTTAGTAAGGACTGGATTTCACTGCATTCCAGGTAACCAGCACTGAAAACGTACACGTGCATTACTTGTGTGTGGGTATCTCAATCTGAGCATATGCACGGGTCCTACTACGAAGTGTGAAGATGCTTCTGTGTCTGCGCTTGGTCTTTTTGTGAAGACAGCCCAGAGAGCCAGCCCTGCCCGCATGATGGGACTCCCAGTCCCCACACCTGCGAGGCAGCCCATCCCTGTTGTTTAATCCACCCCTAGGAAGCTAATGCGCTGCTAAGAGCTGAGCGTGGCAGCATTCTGACTTCCCTACTCCCAGCTCCCTTCTCCAGCTGTGCAAGAGAGAAGCAACTCATCACATACGTGCGATCCTCAATAAAATTAGTAGCTCATTTCTCATCTGAAACCATATGAAATAGGAAGTCTGAGTAGACCTAAAACAAAGTGTTTGCATTTGTAATAAAAAAATCCCACAAAGTCCAACCCCAGATAAATTCACTGGTGAATTTTTCCAAACGAAATTAATTTTCCAAGCAGAATTAATTTACAATAGCTCCCAAACTCTTCCAAAAAATAGACTAGGAAGGAACACATCCTACCTAATAAAGTCACTATTACCCTAAGATCAGACTAATACTACACAAGAAAACTATACATTTCCCTCATAAATATAGACATAAAAATCCTTAAAATGTTAGCAACCAGATCCAGTAACATAAAAAGGGATTATACATCTTTATCAATTGCTTTTTACCCCAGGAATGCAAGGTTACATCAAAATACAAAAATCATTCAATACCATGTCACATCAGTAGAATAAAGGACCAAACTCCATTATCATCTCAATATATGCAAAACAAGGATGTGACAAAACGCAGCACCCTTTCACAGGAATGCTTTATGCAGTTAACAAACGAGGGACAGAGGGAACTTGTCTCAGTCTGACAAGGGCATCTACAAAGAGCTCACAGCCAACACTGTACTCAGGAGGGAAAGACTTCAGTCTTTCCCTCCCCCTAAGATTAGGCATAGGATTAAGGCATCTGCAATCTTCAATACTGAACTGGAGGAACTTTTAGCTGGAGCAACTGAAACACATCCAGATTGGGAAGGAAGAAATAAAACTACCTCTATTTGCAAATGATGTGGTGTTTTATATACAGAAAATCCTAAAGATTAACTCCACCCACCCACACACACACACACTAAAAAAATAAAGCTAATAAGTGATTCAGCAAGGTGGCACGATGACAGGATGCAACATTAGTTGGCAAAACTCAATTGTATATCTATACAATAGGAATGACGAATCCAAAAAGTAAATTAAGAAAACCATTCCATTTAAAATAGCATCAAAAAATAAAATGTTTAGGAATAGATTTAACAAAAGAAGTATAAGACTTGTACACGGACAACCATGATATCGCTGAGGGAAATTAAAGAAGACCTAAGTAAATGCAAAAATAATCCATGGTTATGAACTGGAAGACTTACCGCCTGTTAAGTGGTAATACTCCCAAAGTTGATCTACATCTTTAATGCAACCCCTATTAAAATCCCAATGGTCTTTTTTTGCATAAGTTGACAAGGTAATTCTAGAACTAATATCAACTTGCAAGGGATCCAGAATAGTCAAAACAATCTTAAAAGTAACAAATTTGAAGGAACCAAACTTAATGATTTTGAAACTTAATATAAAGCAAGAATAATGGAGAGTCCTGGCCTAAAAACAGACATAGATAAATGGAATAGAATTTAGAAAAACAACAACAAAGCACACATCTATGGTAAACTGCTTTCCAACAAGAGCATCAAGACAGTTCAATCAAGAATGAGAAAGCTCTTCCACAACTGGAATTAGAACAACTGGATATCCACATGGAGGAGGAGGAGGAGGAGGAGGAGGAAGAGGAGGAGGAGGAGGAGGAGGAGGAGGAGGAAGAGGAGGAGGAGGAGGAGGAGGAGGAGGAGGAGGAGGAGGAGGAGGAGGAGGAGGAGGAGGAGGAGGAGGAGGAGGAGGAGGAGGAGGAGGAGGAGGAGGAAGAGGAGGAGGAGGAGGAGGAGGAGGAGGAGGAGGAGGAGGAGGAGGAGGAAGGGGAGGAGGAGGAGGAGGAGGAGGAGGAGGAGGAGGAGGAGGAGGAGGAAGAGGAGGAGATATCTGATAAGAGTCTAGTATCCAAAATGTATTGAAAAAATCTTCCAACGCAATAATGAAAACGCTAACCCAATTAGAAATGGGCAAAGAACTGAAGAAGCATGACTACAAAGAAGGTATGCAAATGGCCAGTAAGCACTGAGAAGCTCAAGGTCATCGTCACCAGGGAAATGCAAATCCAAACCACAATGAGAATCCATCCCATACAGACTCAGGGAACTGGAAGCAGATGCTCACAGAGAAGCTGGCCCAGGACGTTTGTCACAGCATCATTCCTCACCGCCAGTGAGGGGAAGCCACCCACGTATCCACAGGTGACACTGCAAGTGGCATATCCCACATGGGATCTCACAGCCGCAGAAAGGAATGAAGGACCGACACATTCCATAGTATGAACGGACCTGGAAATCACTGTACTGTGAACGAAGCCAGGCACCCCATGCCACCTGGTGTGTCAGCCCGCTCGTATGAAATGTGCAGAACGGGCACATTCTCGGCCACAGAAGGCGGGTCAGTGCTTGAAAGGGGCTGGAATGTGGTCACTGAATGGGTATGGCATTTCTTTATGGGACAATGAAATGTGAGATTACATAGTGTCCATGGTTGCACAAACTTGTTAATATACTAAAAACCACTGCATTGTATGCTTCAAAGGAGGAATTTTAAGGCATGTGAGTTTACATCAATAAGAAAATATACAAAAAATTTTACTTGCTATACCTTACATGGCTACTGCAAAATATTATGAATCCAAAATCTTTACGATATATAGATCTCGTTTGAAAAAAGCTTTACTATATTTGAACTATATACACTTAATAATATGGGAGTTATTGTATAATAACAAGAAAACACTATAGGCAACTTTAATTACATAACTTTTAGAAAGAACTATTTTTTGCACACTTAAGCAGTTACATAATTAGAACCTGGGTGAATCTAACTATATGGAAACAACTATAATCCATTGTCCCAGAAGGAAAAGGGCCTTAGGAGACTAGGATCATTGAAGAACATTAGCCTTTTGGACAAGATTGAAAAATTTAAACAAATGCTAATTACTTTCTAAAAATTACTGAATATCTATCTATTAATACCTGGATAATTTGGTGATCCCACTATTTTCAGCGAATCTTGGGTCAAGCTAAAACCTCTTGGTAATCGAATCAAATATCCAACTATCAAAAAAAAGAAAAGGAATGAGCAATAATCTTCCTGAGAAATTCCAACATATTCAAATAGTACTTTATCATAGTATTAACGGCCCAGTGCATGGAAATTCGTGCAATGGGGGCATCCCTCAGCCCAGCCTGTACCCTCTTGCAGACCAGGAGCCCTTGGGGGATGTCTGATGCAGGGAGCGGGCCTAAGCTGCAGTCTGGCCTCCCTCTGCGGGAGGCAACCTGCGGGCCGATAGGGGGACGGTACTGGCCGGCAAGTGGCCGATCCCCCTCCCCATCACTCCGCCACCACCACCCCCCACCCCGCTCACCATCCCCTCCCTCTGCCCGCTGGCACCTGCCTTGGCTGGCCTGGTGCCGCCCTATCGCCATCCCTGCCCCCGCCAACTGGTCATTCTGCCATTCAGTCAATTTGCATATTAGGCTTTTATTATATAGGATACTTGATCTTGGTTGAAGGGGCAAGCCATAAATCAGTCCCTTGACACCTGGCACCCATCAAGTCTTCTCCCCTTACATGCTCCAATAAAATGAATGTGTCTGCTGCTGCCCCTAGTGTATCTTGCCTCGGCTTTCACTGCATCCACTTAGAATACATTCCTCATTTGTAAGAGTCCAAATCTGGCATCCTCAAGGCGCAGGTCACATGTCTCTCCTCCTTCAGACCTTCGGTTTGTGTCACTTCTAACCTCCCATAGTACACCATCAGCACCCTTCTGACAACACCCACTCCGCATCCTACCACAGTTCTGTGTGCACATATGTAATTTTCCTTCTTAGATTACAAGCTCCACTTCTAATAGGATCAGTATTTATGTCAACTTATCAAAAATCTGTATAAAGTACTATATCTTGCACTTAGTAAATATTAAATGAGTGTGAAATATATCCTGATACTCTCCAGTCATTGTGAAATGAGCAAATGAGATGGACATAATTGTGTGCAAGACCTAGTGGGAGGAACAGTATAAAAATGCTCTAAAGCAGGGGTGGGCAACCTTTTTGTGAGTGCGTGCCATAACCAGCAAAATCTCTGACTCAAAATTCTTCTGCGTGCCAACCCTAATTTTTTGAGAACACGTTACGCCTACTTGATATCTCTTAAGGTGTACGTATGTGAAGAACCTTGAAGAAATAATAAAATTCATTCGAGCAACAATAATACAGTATATGATGATGAAAAATACATTTACTTTTTAATGTATACATGTACATGATAGTCTGACAGAAAACTTTATGACTCCGTTTGATATTATCAGTGGGACTTTTGCTGCTGCGTCACTGATGACAGAGATTTTACATCAGGTTTATATTTCGTGACCTTCAGAGATATGCACGAGCTACTACTTTCATCCATCAGGCTACTCCTATTACGAGACTTAACAAAATTCATCACTGAGAACAAAGATTCACAAGTTTATGTGGATGAAAACATGGAGAGTAACGCTGTTGCAAAGTTTTTTAAACAGAAAAAATTTTCTGGAATGGCATTCCAAGTCTTCAATAGTTCGTTTTCGACACTTCTCTCTGGTACTCCTGTCTCTAATCGCTTTTTTTCAATGTTTTCCAAGTCAACTCTAAGGACAATAAATTTTTGCTTCCAAATTGAGCTACTCTGAAATTTAATCAACTGCATTTCAAAGTCAGCCATGTCTATCCATGAAAACATTTGTAAGTTTAGTTCCTCCAGTTTCATGCTGTCTGGGAACCTCATGAATTTTGCTGTCTCTTCCAGTTCTCTGAATTTCGCAAATCTTGAGAAGAACTGCTCAATAGTTGACTCGATGATGTTTAAAAACAGCTTTTGAAGGCTTTGACAGTCTGTTCTGTCATCTTTTGGGAGGTCTTTGATGCGCCTCTTGAGGTTTGGGAAATATCTAAATCTCTCACCATCCACATCCCTCTTAAAGACTTCCAGTTTCTTTTCAAAAGACTTTATGTAACCAAACATAACATCAAGTGTCTTGCCAGTTCCTTGTAATTTAACATTTAAGTCATTCAAATGTTCACAAAAATTGTAAATGGAAGATTATAAGAGAGGGTTTCGCGTGCCAGCAAAAGTTACTGGCGTGCCATGTTTGTCACGCATGCCAGGGTTTGCCCACCCTTGCTCTAAAGCATTCCCCAAATTACGTTTAACAGAAAGGGAGTGAGGGAAAAATAAAACGGTCCTCCAAGTCAGAGGCCCAAGTTTAAATCGTAGCTGCCACTGGTTGGCCTTAGGAAAGTCACTGTAAACTCTAGGAGTTTCAGTCTTCTCATCTGCAAAATGAGGCTAAGTTCCAGATTTCTGGAGTTGTTGCAGGGTTTGAATGGACGACTGTCTAAGCTATAAAATGCTGTAGCAGTAGCAGTCTTTACTGTCCATAGCGTCCAGGTTGGATATTGCCTGCTTATCACCCTTCTGACGCCCTGTGGTCTGACCTTATTGGATTAAAAGGAGGCACCCCCCCCATCACCCCTAGAGTAAGACATGGTGGATCTGGGTCAGCCATGCCCCCATCACCCCTAGAGTAAGACATGGTCAGATCTGTGTCCGCCATGCCTCCATCACCCCTAGAGTAAGACATGGCCGATCTGGGTAGCCATGCCCCCCATTCACCCCATCACCCCTAGAGTAAGACATGGTGGATCTGGGTCAGCCAGGGCCGCAAAGGGCCTGCTCCTACAGGGCAATGAGCAGTGACCGGCTGGTCCCACCTTCCCCAGGAGGACGGTCCCGGGTCCTGGGGCCCCTGCCCTCGTCACCCCTGTCCCCCCCCCCCAGCTGTCTCCATGCGTGTCCGGGCGGGGCTCCTTCCCACGCCCTCCCCTGCCCTCCCCGAGGGGGCAAGTATGCGCATTTCAAACAAGTCCCTCTCAGGCTGGGGGATACTTTTCACTTTAAAAGCACCCTGCCGCCTGGACACCGCAGGACCAGCCAAAGCTTCCTAGCGAGCCCCCAGCAACTCTGCTGGAGGGGGACCGGGGCTGAGGCCGGCATTTGTGCTCAGGGGCCTCCAGGGGGGTGACCGCACGCCGTCCTCCCTGGGCCCGCACCGCCCACCCACAGGTGGCGCTGCAGGAGCGCGGGGCGGCCATGGCCCTGGGGAGCCTCGCCGCTGCCGAGACCGGCCCTGCGCACACACCCCAGGCCCGCCCTGCGCGCAGGCCTTGGCCTCGGGGGCACGTGACCCAAACGCCGGAGCCCCGCCCCCTCACCTGCCGGGGGCGCCCGCAGGAGGAAGGCCGAGAGCAGGAGGACCAGGGCGGCCCGGGGGAGCGGGGAGCCCGAGGCCCGCCGCCGGCCCCGCCGCGCCAGGCCCGGGGCCCAGGCCTCCATCCGCACCCGCCGCCCGCCACCTGCCGACCGTGGACTCCGCGGACCCCGGTGGTCGTTAGCCAGCCCGCGCTTGCTCGCCCGCCAGCGGCGAACTGGAATGGAGGCCCGCAGAACAATGGCGGCCGGAAGTGCTGGTTGCCACTTCCGGCGGGTGGGGGTGGGGCCGGGCCAACATGGCGGTCGGGCCTCGGTCCTCTGGCCGTGCAGGGGCCCTGACCACCAGGCCACCGTGGCCCCGGCACACGCGGCCCCAGCAGGTTCCGGAGCCGAGGGAGCAGCCCCGCCTGCAGCCGCTTTCCCGCTGCGGCCATTGCTGGGCCCCCGGAGGCCCCGGAGCTGATGGCTGCCGGAGCCCCACAGCCGGGCCTGCACCACAGGTAGCGGCCCGCGGGTCAGCACCCGGGCACCGGGGACGGCGGGCCCCGGGAATGGCAGCCGCGGTGCTTCCTGGAGCTTATGGGGAGGCCAGTGCGACGCACACGCGGTGGGACGGCAAGCAGACCGGACCGCGCCCCCACCCCCCGCGGAGGAGGCCGCGGGAGAAAGAGCTGCCGCCCCGACCCGACATGGTTTCCACGCAGCACCGGCCGGGGAGGGAGGCTTTCCCGCCGGAGTTCACCCAGTGTCTATGGAGCCACCCATCAGCCTAAAAGGACATTTATAGCCGGGACGTGCGAGAGAATGATGGCTCTGCTTTCTGCAACTGGGAGGGTCAACTCAATCAGAACAGAGTCGCTAGAAATAACATTTTATTCGGTTGGTGCAAATGCATTCAAGAAGGAAGCCTCCAGCAACTGAAGACAAAATGCCCAATGACAGTGTGTATTGTCACCTCTCAGAGGAAGAAATGAGGGACCCAGGGTGTCCGCGTTCTAGCTGTTGCTAAGCAACAAGGGCTTTGTTCTGTTTGTGTTTCCTGCCCCGGTTTGTTGCCGCCCTGTGCGTCCTTTGGTCAAGAGAAAATACCTACCTTCAAACAGAAAAAAGCAAAAGCCCTACCTTGTCGACATTTAGAAAGCCACGTCAATACTATTACGATAAACTAGCCAGTTCTCAACTATTGGAAGCATATGTTTTATTGTTAAAGAGAAAGGAGTCATCAGAAACACTGTATTTGCAGTCACCCAGTTTTCTAAGAAAAGCTATGGATATACATTCACAGCACACACCTGGGAAGATAAGTATCTCTGAACGGTCCATTCTTTCAGGTGCAAAGGCGGTTGAGAATGCAGATTACCCACACTACTATAATCTCTTAAGAAAAATGAACATGCCTTTTGTGAAAGGAATTGCGGACAGACACGACTGTGAGAGAACGGAAAAGAAATGCAACCCTGCTTTTCTTAAATTTCACCCTTACCCCCCTTCATTCGTACCAAACTATCATTTACACTATCCTTATCCCCCACCACATGGGCCAGATTACCCATTATTTCCACTCCGTGATGATGTACCCTTAGGTGATCCCTGTTCGGGGTTCATGAGTCCTGGTGGCGACGCTGATTTAAAGCCTGGCATTGGCAGAACCATCCCAAGTCTGGTGGATTTGAGTGACGTGAAACCTCAACAACGAGTTCCCAGGCCAGATACGGGATTTCAAACAACGCTAAAAAAGCAAAAAATTTTATTAGAAGAACTAAAACAAGACAGAAAGTGGAATTCCAGGGCAACTTCAGATACTGCCATCAGAGCAAGACTTGGAGGTAAATAAAGTGACATTGGCTTATAATTTTTAAACATTGAAACCAGGGAGAAGGAGCATGGATATAAGATTCATTATTCAGTAGATAACTTAACATAAAGTTGTAAAGAACCAAATAAGAAAATCTTATTTTCAAATTATAAATTGTAAGGAAAAAGTAAAAATGATAAACCTTTTATAAATCTATCTGTAAAATAATATTTGGTGTTTAAAAGTGCATTCATTAGTATAAGTGACCAACACAAATTACATGTCAGGTAATCTATATTAATAAAAACATAATATGCTAATTAGACCAAACAACCTTCCGGACATCCTTCCAGAGGAAGCTGGGGTTGCAAGGGCCAAGCCCCTTGCACAAATTTCGTACATCAGGCTTCTAGTTTCTTATATAAATACTAGAGGCCCAATGCATGGATTTGTGCACCAGTGGGGTCCTTTTGCCTGGCCTGCAGAGATCGGGCTGAAACCAGCTCTCTGACATCCCCCGAGGGGTCCCAGATTCTGAGAGGGTGCAGAGCAGGCCGAGGGACCCCACCAGTGCACGATTGGGGCTGGGGAGGGACCATGGGAGGGGTCCAGGGCATGGCCGGCCTGTTTTTCCCAGTCCCAATCAAGCAGACCCCAGCAGCAAGCTAGCCTACTGGTTGGAGTATCTGCCCCCCTGGTGGTCAGTGTGTGTCATAGTGACTGGTTGAACGGTCAGACACCTAGCATATTAGGCTTTTGTTATATAGGATAGATAACCTAATTGTACCACAAGCCAAATTCTATTTGACGCTGATAATTGTGTAGCATGCCGAATTATCTCTCTGGAAGAAGTAAATCTGATCGTTATGTGAGAGTTAGGTTAAGGGGCTGAAATGGGAAAGTAGTTGAAAGTGAAATTTGGTGTCTGGTAAGAACAGGAGCTGAGAAGCAACCCCTGCAGAAATAGCTTCACACAGCTCTGAAGGCACAATTGATGAACCTCCTGACAAGCTGTACCTTATGTCGGCACTCCCAGAGAATGTCGCCAGCCTGGCCAGCAGTGCTGACACTTGCAATGGAAAGCCACAAGAAATATTCCTGTATGGGAGTGTGTCTGGTGGACGGGAAGTGCAAAGAGACTAACATCTTTGAGCATGTGGAAGGGAAAAGGCCAAACACGGCATCAAGAGATGCTGAGCTTCCTCTAGCACTGCTTCTCCTCCACACCCAGCCTAGACCAGAGGCCTAAGCAGGCAGTGGGGGAGGGACAGTGGCAGCAGCATATGGTGGAGCAGTGGGGAGTCATGGTTCCTGCCACTGCATGGAGAGAAGCCATAGGTAATTGAGACTAGAAAAAGGGGTAAGAAAAAAGGTAAAGGGAATGAAATAATGCCACAATATCACGCTTCTGAGCCCTACCCTCCAGGTACCCGCTTTTGAACTAGAAAGAGCAATTTGGGGACATATACTTGTAAGTATAGGATAAGAATTATGCTTTTAATATGCACTCCAGTTGTTGACTTAACAGAGGGCTTAGGGAAATACCTTCGTTTGGAATTTTCATATGAAGAGTATAAATAATGTTCAACTACCAGTTTTTAAGAAATAATTATTTTACAATCCATTGGAAATACTACTTAGGGAAAAACAGTATTACCAAGAATCAAATACTATCTAAGGTGCAGAATTGTCTTAGGTAAGTGCATGAGGGGACCATTGGTGAGTTCAGGTCCATCTCAGACAGCACATTGCCCTGATTCTGAACTAGCAGCTACTTCTCTAGCCTGTCAGCAAAGGCCTGGAGCTCAGTCTCTTGCTAATGTTTTAGTGTATAACAGCATTCGTTGTCGAGGACTCTTCCTTAGAGAACAGAGTTCACTTTTCCTAGTGCTCCCACTGTAGGCAGGTAGGCCACTTTTCTTGTAGGCAGACAACCCCAGCCTCAGGTTGGGCTGTTTCTGTAAGTTTTTCTAAGAACTGTTTTCCAACAAATTACAAGTTTAGGAAATTAAAGCTAATTTCCCACTAAACTAGCGTTAACAGAGGTTGTACCAGCAACTCAGAACTGAGTACAGAGTTTATCCAGCCTCCATATTGTGCTACCGGGATCAGTAAAACAGAATTCAGAAGATAGGCTCTAGGGTCAGACAGTCTGGGCTCATATCCAGGCACAAAGCTTACTTTCACTATGACCTTGGGCTGGTTACTAATCTCTCTATGTCCACGTATCCTTATTTGTAAAATAAGTTCACATGCTAGTAAAACTACTTCATGAGATTATAGTGAGGGCCATTTAGTGTAATTCATGTAAACATGTCTGACATTAAGGAATGAACCATGAACCAATAAGTGTTAGATAGTACAAAGTTAAGCAAAGTCTAGAGTTTCCAGTCACTTTACACTTAAATTGGCAATATTACTCCTTTTCTTATAAAGTGTAAGAAATAATGAGTTAACATGTAAAATACTTAGCATAATTTCTGGAACCTGGTAAAGCATTCAGTAATAGCATTTATTATTATTAGCTATTAACATTTTCAAAGAATAATGCCAGGAGTTCAGGGATTGGTTGCAATATAATTTGTCCTAGGCTTTCAGTGACTTTGTAGATCCTGGAAATAGTCGTTATTTATAAATAAGAACTTCAGTTTTTAGCAAACCTGAATCCATGTGATTCCTAAGACATTCTGATAAGGAAGCACATCTTCTCAGAATTAATCGTGTCACAGCCCAGTATGCTTTCCAGTGGGTTTTCATAAATACCAAAGCCAAGTCATAAACGATTGGATGACTGGCTTCTTGCCCAATTCCAAGCTTGTCAGACATTTAACTGATGCGGCAGTTCCGTGTTGCTCAGAGTTGGCTTTCTTTCTTGTGCACCGATCAAGTGTCCCAGACTTATCCTAATTACATTCAAACCCTTTATTGCTTGCTCTTTGTTCTCATTGCAACGGGTGACACAGTCACCCTTGTCACAGACAGAAAAAGATGTTGCCTCTTGCGACCTCTGGTTTTCCTACCTTCAGCATCCTAATAGCAATATATGTAACTCTTTGTATGTCTTCCGACCTTTTTAAAATCATCGTCTCAGCTTGAGCTGCTATAAGAACATACCATTGACTGGGTGGCTTAAACAACAGGTCCCTGTTTCTCACAGTTCCAAAGGCTGGGAAGTCCAAGATCAAGTTAGTTCTTGTTGAGAGCCCTCCTTCTGGCTTGCAGGAGGCTTACCTTCCGTTGTTTTCTCATATGGCAGAGAGAGAGCAGGCTCCGGTATCCCTTTCTCCTCTTAGAAAGACACTAATCCTATCATGGGAGCCCCACCCTCACGACCTCATCTAAACCTAATTACTTCCCAGGGGCCTAACCTCCAAATACCATCACATTTTGGGTCAGTCCTTCAGTATGTAAATTTTGGGGATACAAAAACATTTGCTCCATCACAGCTCTCAGCCATTTTTAAGTGCATATAGTTCATTGGTATTAAGTATAGCATTGTGCAACCATTACCACAATACATCTCCATAACATTTTCCATCTTGCAAAACGGAAACTCTCTTACCCATTAAACCCTAACTCCCTAGTTCCCCCCTCCTACTCCCCTGGAAACCAGTTTTGCTTTCTGTCTCAATGAATTTGACTCCCCTGAATACATCGTATAAGTAAAATCACAGAATGTTTGTCTTTCTGTGACTGGCATGTTTCCCTTAGCATAATGCCATCATGGACAACAATGTCCATGTATTAGCATGTGTCAGAATTGTCTTCCCTTGTAAAGCTGAGTACTTTTCCATTTTAGGCTTGCACTACTTTTTTTTTCCATTCATCCATCAATGGACACTTGGGTTGCTTCACCTTTGGGCTGTTGTGAATGATGCTGCTATGCACACACATGTACAAATATTTCTTCAAGAACCTGCTTTCAATTCTTTAAATATGTACCCAGGAGTGGAGTTGCTCAATCCTATGGTGATTCTATGTTTATTTTTTTTAGGAACTTCCACCCGGTTCATCACAGCAGCTGCCACATTATACAATCCCACCAATAGTGCAGAATCCCAATTTCCTGCATTCAAGGAATAAAACCCACTTGGTCATGGTGTATAATCCTCTTGGTGTGCACTTAAAGTCTCTTCTATAGTATTCTGGAGAGGATTTTGCATCAGTGTTTAGTAGGATATGGTCTGGCTTTTGCATCCCTGTAATGATGGCTTCATAGAATGAGTTTGGAAGTATTCCCTCCTCATTCATTTTTTTTTTTTTAGAAGAGCCTGGGGAGGACTAGTATTAATTCTTCTTCAAACACTTTGCAGAATTCAGCAGTGAAGCTGTCTGGTCCTGAGCTTTGCTTTAGGGTAGGTATTTGATTACTGAGTCAATTTCCTTAGAAGTTATAGGTCTGTTCATATTTTCTGTTTCTTCATGATTCAGACTAGGTAGGTTGTGTGGTCCTAGTAATTTGTCCATTTCATTTAGGTTATACGATTTCTTGGTGTACAGTAATTTCATATAATTATTTTCTTCATACTAATCTTATATAATAAAAGCCTAATGTGCAAATTGTCCCCTCAACCAGGAGTTTGACTGCTCACTATGACATGTGCTGACCACCAGGGGGCGGTGTGGAACATGGCAGGTGTTGGCGATGCACTGCAACCTCTAGCTGGCTACCTGGGGGCGGGAGTGATGGGGATGGAGGTGTGGTGAGAATGTGGGGTGTCTGCTGAGCTAACTCTCACTCCCTCTGCTACCCTCCCCCGGGATGCCAGGGCTTGTGCACCAGGGAAGCCCCTATGCTCAGGTGCCGGGCGCCCATAAGGAGCCTGCCCTGCACCCACGCAACCTCTTCTGGGTGAGCCAGGATGCAGCCACAGGGGCCGGTTGGGCTTCCCGTGGGTTTGCACAGGAGCCGGTCTGCAAGGCCGGCTGGGAGAGAGTGCACTACCCACCTGGCTTCTGTGCGGTGCCGCTGGGCAGCCCAGAGGCCCACGCTGCACCTCGGCCTGCAGCGTCCAGCCGTGCTCACTGCATCTCCGAGTGAGGACTTGGGCACCTGTGATTCAAGTGGAGGGAGGTGCATGGGGGCCTGGGGGCCCAGGTGCTGCCCAGGGCCCAGAGGTCAGCTGGGACCTGCCCTTCCATGGCAGATGCTCGCACTTCAATCGCTGGCCAGGCCTAGGGACCACACCTCTGCACGAATTTCATGCACCAGGCCTCTAGTTTCTTATAATTATTTTTATTTCTGTAAAATCAGTCGTAATGTTTCCTTATTTGTGATTTTGCTTGAGTCTTCTTTCTCTCTTATCAATCTAGCTATTCTTTTCAAAGAACCAACCTTTGCTTTCATGAATTTTCTCTATTTTGTATCTACACTCTAATCTTCATTATTTCCTTCCTTCTGCTAGCTTTGAGTTTGGTTTGTTGTTTTTTCTAACTCCATAAGGTGTAAATGAAGGTTGTTGGTTTGAGAGCTTTCTTCCATAATATAAGGGTTTATACCTATGAATTTCTGTCAGTGCTACTTTTGCTAAATGCCATGACTTTTGTTATGTTGTGTGTTTTCATTTGTCTCAATATAATTCCTAATTTCCCAATAATGAGGAATAGATAACAAGCAATTCTACACTATTACAACAATCTAACATGTAAATTTCAGAGCTATCCTGTTCTCACTGATCAGAAAAATTGTTGGATAACCCACCGAAAAGTTAATTCCCAGCATGCATTTCAGCTTTCTCATAGGAAATTCTGGTGGAAGGGGTGTTCGCTGCAGGCTAATGGAAAGGTGTCCTGTTTGTTTGCAGGATGGACCAGCCCAGTGAGAGTCGCTCCTCCCCAGCCTCGGCATGAAGCGTGCTCAGTCACTCACACGTACATGTTCGGTGAGGAAGCGGCCTGTGAAGTAAGGCTCCTTTCCAGGGAGTGTGATACAGTGTTTGTAATTAAATTAGTTCATTGTCTGTGGTGTTTATAATTTGAGCCGAAATAGCTACCACTTTAAAATATGCCTTATGTGCCAGGCACCGTGCAGACCTTCACAGTCATCGTGTGTCTTGCATTATCTTGTGCCTCCCTGACAGCTTTACTTCAGGGGAGGACTGAGTAGTAGAGGCTGGTAGGGCCCAATCCAGACCCCCATCGCTGGCAAGTGCACCTCCTCCAGCAGCAGGGACTGACGGATGCCCATGGCTGACAGCCACCAGCTCAGAGGACATGAATTCACAGACTGAAGAAGCATCACAAGTCTGAAAACAGATGACAGAGATATATCCTCTCCTAAACAAATTATCTTGGAACTGTAGAAAAACCAATACAGATACCCTAACTATAACCTGAGGGGGTGGGGGGAGCTCACAGAACACCTGCAAGCAATTAAACTCAGTGCAGTCCAAAGACAATGAGACGTATTTGTTATTAAATAATCATAACCATAAAACAGACCTCTAGCCCGTCTAGAACATCATTCAAACGTGAGGATGAGTTAAAAAAGAGGGCTAGAGAAGTTCGCATCCGTGAGAGAATTACTGAAAACTGAACGTTAGTGAGAAGAACAGAACCAAGGGCCGCGGTGGGAAAAACCAAGGAGGGCACAAGGAGCCAGAGCAGGCGGGGCTGGCAGCGCGGTGCTGAATGTAAATCAGGGGCCATCGGCGATGGCAACCACAGCGGCTACATTAACAGTGAATTAGTTTTGATAAAATGAGATGAAAGAGAGGAAGAGGGTAATATTTCAGAACTAATGTGCTTGTGTTATTAGACAAGACAGAAGGTTTTTTTAAATGTTGCAATTTTATGGAATTAAACGCTATTTGTCAACATTAAATATTCAAGGGCTTTCTCATAAAAATCTGACTTTATGTTAACTTTGATATACATCTTTGTGAATTTTAACTTAATCATTAGAAGAATATATGCAAAATGTGAATTTCCCAGGCAGCAGAGGAAAGCCGGGAAGCATATACTAGTTGACCCCACAGATGCTGTCGAAGAAGAAAAGGGAAGAAAGGGAGTGGGAGCAGGCGGACTCGAGGCATCGTCCATCCCCGCTTATGGCTGGTCTTTTTTTCACGCCTTCTAGGAGGACAGAGAGCTCCCTGCACAGCCAAACAAGAAACGTGATGCGAAGGACTTGTTTTATATGTCCTCGACACAAAGGTAAGAACTTTTTCAAATAGAATTTTGATTTAAAATTTTATTTTATACTTAATGATATAGCCCCTTTGTGTCTCCATTATCCTGAGTCCTATGAGAAATTCAGAAAACATCAGATAGAGATATTTAGTTACTTATGTTATTGCTAACATAAACAGGTCAAGGAAGAATCTAAAAAAACCTATGTTTACTAAAAAAGGAAAACCAAAACAGAACGGAAATGCTCAGAGAGAGAGAGAGAGAGAGAGAGGAGGTGAGTGCAGTATCAGAGAAAACGGGAGCTGATTAGGGGCCTCATTGCGTGTGCACAATCCCTTTGCCGTATGCAGTTGCCACACAGAGTATCATGAGCGTGATAGTCTCCCACACCCACTTGCCCCGCCCACACCTGAGGGGAGGTGATTGTCCATGGCATATACGGGGGGGCAGAGATGGGGGGGCACCTTAGAATTCTGCCTGGTTCAGTGTAAGATATTGTGGTGAACTAGAACTGAACATGTGTTTCCATAAAAGGCGATCATGTAACACTTTCCAGAGCTTATGAAAGCGTTCCCTGGGACAAGATGCTGGCGCCAAAACTCGACCCAGAGGAGACCACAGTGGAAAGAGCTGCCGACCCCGTCTCACAGTGTTTCACACAGAAAAGATACGAGAGGGTCCCGGCAATAACTCAGGTCAGGGGCCGCCCAGGTGCAGCGTCTCACTTACTGACCTGAACTCCCAAACTGCGCAACAGTAAGACTTATTTTATTGCTAAGAATTACGGAAAGAACGAGTAAATCTGTGCACGTCTGGTGGGCAGTGCCATCATCATAGAGGTTATCAGTCAGCTCCATACTTTAACATGATCTGTTGTACTTCAGGCGTGTGTTTAAGGCGCCGCTTTCCCAGAAGGCATGCATTGCCTGTTCACTCTCCACACTGAAGAGCAGGAGTGCGCGGTGAGGACACGGAGGTGACACGGGCCCCAGAGACCTGCGCGGAGGCAGTGCTCCCGGAAGGGGCTAGCGCTGAGCTTTCGAGGGCAGAAAGGACGGCCTGAGTCTGGGAAACAAAGCGCCTCCGCTTCTTTTCATTCCTCAGCACCGGATTCGTCTCGGGCTGTGGTGGCCGCGCCAAGCCCGGAGCTGCCCCCACAGGCCCTCTCCGCCACTCCTCAGGGCAGTGCACTTTGCACAGTGAGCCTGTCCCCCGACCGGCACAGGCCCCCCGACCGGCACAGGCCCCCCCACCGGCACAGGCCCCCCCGACCGGCACAGACCCCCGACCGGCACAGGCCCCCCGACCGGCACAGGCCCCCCCGACCGGCACAGGCCCCCCGACCGGCACAGGCCCCCCGACCGGCACAGGCCCCCCCGACCGGCACAGGACCCCCGACCGGCACAGGCCCCCCGACCGGCACAGGCCCCCCTGACCGGCACAGGCCCCCTGACTGGCACAGGCCTCCTGAGCGGCACAGGCCCCCCCGACCGGCACAGGCCCCCCTGACCGGCACAGGCCCCCCGACCGGCACAGGCCTCCTGACCGGCACAGGCCCCCCTGACCGGCACAGGGCCCCCCGACCGGCACAGGCCCCCCTGACCGGCACAGGCCCCCCGACCGGCACAGGCCCCCCTGACCGGCACAGGGCCCCCCGACCGGCACAGGCCCCCCTGACCGGCACAGGCCCCCCGACCGGCACAGGCCCCCCGACCGGCACAGGCCCCCCGACCGGCACAGGCCCCCCGACCGGCACAGGCCCCCCTGACCGGCACAGGCCCCCCGACCGGCACAGGCCCCCCTGACCGGCACAGGCCCCCCGACCGGCACAGGCCCCCCTGACCGGCACAGGCCCCCGCAGCCCGTCTCTCCTGCTCTTCCTCATCCTCCGCCCGCCTGGCCCCACGCGCCCTCTGTCACCCATCAGTGCAGCCTGTGCTGCCCTGGCCGGCCTCAGGCCCACGCTCTTCCTCAGGCCTTGTCTGTTGCAAATGGTATTCCACCGCCTTCATCGCTGTTTCTTCCAGGCTGAGTCCCAAGAACCCACCAGGTTTTAGCACCTCAGACCTCACTTCGGCCTCCCAGCAGCCCTGCTCTGCACTGGCAGATCTGCTCCCATGGGTGCCCTCACCTCCCTGCCCTCCTCACTTCTCAGGAGCCAGGCAGGCCCTGGGCCTGTGCCCACCGTGGAGTTTTAATGTGCGCACATAAAGCCCACCGGTCTGAAAAGGAACCGGCGACACTGCAGTCCATCCTCACCGTGGACCCTAAGCGGTCCAGCAGCCCACGTTATCCCGCAAAACTTCTTCAGTTTTTCCAGGGGAAAATGATAATAAGTGAGGAAAACAGCTTTAATATAGTCTCAGCAGGGGATTTTCATATCGAAATTCAATTAAAGGACAAAAGGAAGTGTCTGGCTTATCGCTATTTTTTTTAAGGATTTCTCAGCTACATGAAAGTATTACATCTTGGTCATATTATTACAGATAATGGTGTTAAATTATGCTGCTATCCAAAGTCCTTCCCGCATGAGGCGGTTCGAGGGGGGCGCGGGGGGGGGGGGGGCTGTCAGGGAAGGGGAGACCCGGCTGGGGCTGCAGCGGGCACGAAGGTGGATCCATGTCAGCACAGTCTCGGGTGAAAACCACAGCCAGACCTTCCCGGGGCTTCGTCCTGAAGGAGGGGGATGCGGCTGGTTCCAGCTGTGAGAGCACAGCTGGCGTTAAGGGGCCGAGGCCAGGAGTGGCTCTGGAGCCGGCCGAGTTGTGAGGGAAGTTGGGATGCTTTTCCTGGGGAGCCTGGGCTTGCCTCTGGGGTGACGGGGCAGTGAAGACCCTGGGCTAGCGTCTGAGGAGCAGCAGGTGGAGCCTGTGCCTGCCTCACAGTGACTTGCTCTTTAAGTGTCTGTCGCCCGTTCTGATGGTTCTAGATGGTCGGTGGACTCTGGGACAGATTTCAGACGAGATCCTTCTTGGTTCCGGCAAAACCAGTCAATTTGTAAGTTGCATCCCTAACGTGCTTCCCCCAGGCCTCCCCATCGCATGCTGCTCAGGAGTTGATGCCCCAGCCCCTGTGGGAGGGCTTCCCGGAGGCCGCAGACTCCATCCCCTGTGGGTGCTCAGGCCACTGCCTCCTCGCCGTGCCTCTTACCCGCTAACGGCTGGACTGCTCAGGTGGCACAACGCAGCACCCGAGCGCCCCCGGGGACACCAGGTGTTCCCAGGTGGCAGCTGTGGGCTTCGGGGATAAGAAATTATTTTTATCAAACTTCGTGTCCTCTACTTCTTTAGGGTTCTACTAACACTAAAAATGATGGGTTTATTACAAATCCTTCCACATAGGTAATTTTTTTCATTTAGTCTAAAAAATGGCACTTCTGCTTTTGAAAGTCCCTTTATTTTGGTTGTCACTACAACCCACAGCCCACGTGTGATCACTAAGGGAGTGCAGAGCAGAAGGAAGACACGTGGGAAGATGCGCGCTGGCGCGAGGTCATGGCGTCAGCAAACACGTGTCCCTGAGAGCTGGGAGCCAGTTTGTTCAGTGTTTGATTTTCACTTACAACAACAACTTTACGTGATTCCTGTTTAACATTAGAAACTTGTAGAGGCCACTTCCTATGCGATGGCTCTGAAAGCTTAGTTTTTATTTGCAAAATAAATACTATAACAAGTGGAGGTTTTGTAAGTTAATATCAAGAACTCAACTGCCCGTATTTTCTCTTTTCCTAAGTGTGAGTCCAAGTTCTAGAAGCAAATACATTCCTCTCTACACGTAAGTAATGTTCCCAATGTTTTAAAATGACTGGATTCACATCTAAATGTTTGTGCCTCACTCCTTTCGGCAGCGTATGCCTAGTCACAGATGCTAACGCTTTCCTAGCACTTTCCTAGCACCTGCTCAGTGTCAGGATTTTCCTCAGAGCCCTGTCACAGGTTTCAGCACAGAAAGGCGCATTGCTGGTGGCCCGGGTTCCATCTCCCGGGACCCTGCTAGCTCTGCAGGTCCCACCCCTGCCTTGCCGGGGCAGCCTCCCTGGGTCCACAGATGGTCATCCCAGGGCCTCAGCGCGGGGCCGCAGATGGGCTGTCAGTTCTGCAGAAACAGCCTTTCTCTGCTCAGAAGCACAGGCAGCCATTCCTCTCACTCTGGTCCAAACTTACATTCACAAGAGCCTGGCAACTCCTATTCTGAGAAAGAAAACCTCTCCCTATTTTTTAGGCAAATTGTTCCATCATCATGCCCTTCCTCCCTCCCTCCCCCTCTCTCTCCCTTCCTCCCTCCCTCCCTCCTTCCCTCTCTTTCTCCCTTCCTTCCTTCCTTCCTTCCTTCCTTCCTTCCTTCCTTCCTTCCTTCCTTCCTTTCGCATTGTCAATTTTTGATCTGTTTTGGCAAATAATTTGGGGGAGGTAGGACACTGTTTATTTGTTCCTTCCGTATTTCTTAGAAAGAAACCTGTGCTGTCCTTTCTTTTCCTGCTCCCAGCGGCCACGTGCAGGCCACCAACGCTGACGACATTGACAACCCCTCCGGAGACATCACATCTCTGGCCAAGCCTCGGAGCTCCAGAATCCTTCACTCACAGACAGGCTGGTGAGTCCCCGTCGTAACTTCCCGGGCTTTTTGTTAAGGGGGAAGCGTGGTGATGGGTGTTACTGTAAGGGAAGGAAGAAGCTCTGAGCGTGGGTTGAGGAGAAAGGTAACTTTGCTGAGTGACTGATGGTCAAAGGAGGTTACGTGTTGCCGAGACTCCCCTCAGCCCTCGACATGGGGCCGAGCCCAGAGGAGGGATCAGCTGGTGACTCTCCCATCCTGTAGAATAAAACCATATGCTAAGTGTCTGGTTGACCGGTTGGCTGTTCAACCACTCAAAGCGTAATATGCTAATGATATGCTAATGCCGCTCAACCAGTCACTATGACGTGTACTGACCACCAGGGGCGGATGCTCCGACCGATAGGTTAGCTTGCTGTTGGGGTCCGGCTGATCAGGACTGAGCGAGACCGGCCAGACACGCCCTGGAGCCCTCCCACGGTCCCTCCTGGCTGGTCAGCCTCCGCGGTTCCTCCTGGCTGGTCAGCCTCCCGCGGTCCCTCCTGGCTGGTCAGCCTCCGCGGTCCCTCCTAGCTGGTCAGCCTCCGCGGTCCCTCCTGGCTGGTCAGCCTCCGCGGTCCCTCCTGGCTGGTCAGCCTCCGCGGTCCCTCCTGGCTGGTCAGCCTCCCGCGGTCCCTCCCTGGCTGGTCAGCCTCCCGCGGTCCCTCCTGGCTGGCCCACCTCCTGCGTCTCTCTCTGGCTGGTCAGCCTCCCGCGGTCCCTCCCTGGCTGGTCAGCCTCCCGCGGTCCCTCCCTGGCTGGTCCACCTCCCGCGTCTCTCCCTGGCCCCGTTGGGGTCCCTCGGCTTGGCCTGCGCCCTCTTGCAGCTGGTTTCAGCCCCATCCCGCAGGTCAGGCTGAGAGACCCCACTGGTGCATGAATTTGTGCACTGGCCTCTAGTAAATTCTGAAAGGAAATGCCTTTAAACAGAATCATTCTAAAATTTTAAAGGAAGGATATGGGACAAAGCAATTAAAAATATTCAACAGGCATAAAACTTAATAATGTTCTCCTTTGAGGTGCACGTTTGCATTGTGAATAGTTTTATGAAGCATTTTGCTACCAAAAATGGGAACATCCCCTTGTGTCACCTTCAAAGAGAGAAGAGCAGCCGGGCAGCATGTCTGACACTCGGTGTGAATTCACCGTTTCCCTTGGACACATTAGGGAGCGGCCGTTCTGCTCCATTTTGCTGTTAATTTTGCTTTTTTATTGTTATTATGTATTGGTTTCGGGTGACAGCTGAGTGGCCAGACAATCGTGTTCTTGACACAGGGCTCCCCTCGCTATTCCCAGTGCCCACCTGGCCCGGGCGTCGTGTCACCATCGTCCTGGCTGTTTCCTGTGCTGTATCACGCCCCCGTGACTGTGGGGGGACTTCCCAGCTGTGCTTCTCAGTCCCTTCACCCCTCCCCCCCCCCCCTTGAGTCTGTTCTCTGCATCTGTGAGTCTGTTTCCATTTGGTTTGTTGCTGATACTGTTCTCCAGCTTCCACATGTATGTGAAGTCAGGGTACTTGTCTTTCTCTGACTGAAGGAACCTCACTGAGCGTAACGCCCTCCAGGCCCCTCCGTGCTGTCGCACGTGGTCAGCTGTCCCTCTTCCTGCGGCCGAGGGGCTCCATGCACGCAGCCCCGGCTTCTTCGTCCCTCGTCGCCGAGGGCACTGGGCGCTTCCACAGCGAGGCTGTTGTGAGCAACACTGCAGTGACCGTAGGGGCACATGTGCTTTCCAGTTAGTGTTTCAGGGTTTTTGGATAAATTCCCGGAAGTGGGACCGTGGGTCATAAGGCAGGTCCGTGTCCAGTCTTTTCCGGAAACGCCACGCTGTCCCCCACGGCGGCTGCACCAGCCTGCAGCCCAGCAGCAGCGCACAGGGGATCTCTCCTCCGCATCCTCGCCCGCACTGTTTGCTGGTGTATTGACTGCGGCCTTGCTGACGGGTGTGCGGTGATGCCTCCTGGCTTAAGTGGCTTCTCTCTGACAGTCGGTGACACTGAGCATCTATTCTCGGGTGTCTGTTGGCCGTCTGTGTATCCTCTGGGAGAAGCGTCTGTCCAGGCCTCTGCCCATTTCTGAGTTGCATGGTTTGGTGTGTGTTGGTGTTGAGTGGTGTTAAGCTCTTTATAAACTTCGGGTGTTGGGCCCTTGTCAGGTGGTTCAGGGGGCGTCCTCCCCCTCGGCCGTGTCTCCGGCTGCTGGTGCTCTCCTCCTGGGCACAGCCTGTGTGGTGTGACGTCACGGTGTGCGTGTGCGTGTGTGTGTGTGTGCGTGTGCGCGCGTGTGTGTGTGTGTGTGTGTGTGTGTGTGTGGTTTCCCTTGCCCTGGAGATCAGCCAGGGATCAGGACGTTAACTGCAGTTACCCAGGTCGGGCACTAGAGGGCCCGCGAGGTGCAGAGTTTTTTCCTTAGATTAGGTTTCCACCTGAACATATTCTTAACCTTTTTAAAAAATTTATCTTTATTGTTGTTTTGTGGATGTCTCTCATTTCACAACGAAGTGCTTCCGATTCCATTATGAAATACGGATACAAACATGCTCCCTGCTCCGTGTGAAGTAGAGTAACAAGCAAGCGCTATCCCCCGCCCCCGCCCCCCTCCCTAGAGAGGGAGCACCTCAGGAATGTCTCTAACCACCCGGCTCCTCCCGACCGCCTCGCCGGTCCCTTCCCACGGACGCCATCTCCGCCAGACGGTGCCTGCCCGGCTCGCCCTCTTGGTGACTTCAGCGCACGGATGGGGGTCTCTAAACAGAACATGCTGCTTCTCTAAACCGCATGCAGCTAACAGCGGCGCCTGCGATGGCAGCTGCTTAAGTCCAGTCCTGGGGCCGGCAGGCTGGGGAGCTGAGTGCAGGGGCTCCGTCCTGCTGGGGCGAGCACGGCTCTTCCTCTCGGTCTCATCCAGGCTTTCTGAGGGGGCGCCTGTGTGAGGGGGCGCCTGTATGAGGGGTTCCTGTGTGAGGGGCGCCTGTGTGAGGGGCTCCTGTGTGAAGGGCGCCTGTGTGAGGGGCGCCTGTATGAGGGGTTCCTGTGTGAGGGGGCGCCTGTATGAGGGGTTCCTGTGTGAGGGGCTCCTGTGTGTGGGGTTCCTGTGTGAGGGGCGCCTGTGTGAGGGGTTCCTGTGTGAGGGGCGCCTGTGTGAGGGGCTCCTGTGTGAAGGGCGCCTGTGTGAGGGGCGCCTGTGTGAGGGGCGCCTGTGTGAGGGGCTCCTGTGTGAGGGGTTCCTGTGTGAAGGGCGCCTGTGTGAGGGGCGCCTGTGTGAGGGGCGCCTGTGTGAGGGGCTCCTGTGTGAGAGGGGTCCTGTGTGAGGGGTTCCTGTGTGAGGGGTTCCTGTGTGAGGGGTTCCTGTGTGAGGGGCGCCTGTGTGAGGGGCTCCTGTGTGAGGGGCGCCTGTGTGAGGGGCGCCTGTGTGAGGGGCTCCTGTGTGAAGGGCGCCTGTGTGAGGGGCGCCTGTGTGAGGGGCTCCTGTGTGAGGGGCGCCTGTGTGAGGGGTTCCTGTGTGAGGGGCTCCTGTGTGAGGGGCTCCTGTGTGAGGGGTTCCTGTGTGAAGGGCGCCTGTGTGAGGGGTTCCTGTGTGAGGGGCTCCTGTGTGAGGGGCTCCTGTGTGAGGGGCGCCTGTGTGAGGGGCTCCTGTGTGAGGGGTTCCTGTGTGAGGGGTTCCTGTGTGAGGGGCGCCTGTGTGAGGGGCTCCTGTGTGAGGGGCTCCTGTGTGAGGGGCTCCTGTGTGAGGGGCGCCTGTGTGAGGGGCTCCTGTGTGAGGGGCGCCTGTGTGAGGGGTCCTGTGTGAGGGGCTCCTGTGTGAGGGGTTGGGCTCCTGTGTGAGGGGCTTCCTGTGTGAGGGGCGCCTGTGTGAGGGGCGCCTGTGTGAGGGGCTCTGTTGTGAGGGTTTCCTGTGTGAGGGGCTCCTGTGTGAGGGGTTTCCTGTGTGAGGGGCGCCTGTGTGAGGGGTTTCCTGTGTGAGGGGCGCCTGTGTGAGGGGTTCCTGTGTGAGGGGCGCCTGTGTGAGGGGTTTCCTGTGTGAGGGGGCGCCTGTGTGAGGGGCTCCTGTGTGAGGGGTTCCTGTGTGAGGGGTTCCTGTGTGAGGGCTCCTGTGTGAGGGGCGCCTGTGTGAGGGCGCCTGTGTGAGGGGCGCCTGTGTGAGGGGCGCCTGTTTGAAGGGCACCTGTGTGAGGGGCGCCTGTGTGAGGGGCTCCTGTGTGAGGGGCGCCTGTGTGAGGGGCGCCTGTGTGAGGGGCGCCTGTGTGAGGGGCGCCTGTGTGAAGGGCACCTGTGTGAGGGGCGCCTGTGTGAGGGGTTCCTGTGTGAAGGGCACCTGTGTGAGGGGCGCCTGTGTGAGGGGTTCCTGTGTGAAGGGCACCTGTGTGAGGGGGCGCCTGTGTGAGGGGCTCCTGTGTGAGGGGCGCCTGTGTGAGGGGCGCCTGTGTGAGGGGCGCCTGTGTGAGGGGGCGCCTGTGTGAGGGGTTCCTGTGTGAGGGGCGCCTGTGTGAGGGGCGCCTGTGTGAGGGGCTCCTGTGTGAGCGTTAAACAGGCGATTCACGGGCGCCTTTAGAGGTGCCTGGGCGCGGCCCTCCCTGCGATATCAGTCACACGTGTATCCAGAGGCGTGTGCTCACCGGGGCTCTGACCGTGTGACATGCCTGCGTTCCCCAGGTAGCATGCTTGTTCCGTGTTCTCTGCAGCCTGGTTGGCCTTGAAGTGCACACACCTGTGCCCTCCTTCCTGCTCACCACACTGCCTTACCTCCCAGTGAGTAGCTTCCAGCTTGCTCTGCGTTGCTGAACAAACCAGCTGGGTGTAAACTTAGGCTAGTGGTCTCAGCCTGGGCTGCACATTAGAACCACCTGGGAATCTTTGTAAAATCCTGATTTCTGGGCCTCACCCTCCGGAAATTCTGTTTCTTTGTTGCTAATGTTGTGGCCCCACCCCACAACAAAGAAATAGAATTTCTGGAGGATGAGGCCCAGAAGTCAGGATTTTACAAAGATTCCCAGGTGATTCTAATGTGCAGCCAAGTTGAGAACCACTGACTTAGGCAGTGATTCCTGCCAGTTTACCTGGTAGTGGGAAGTCCGGGTGTATTTTTGGAACTGGTTACAGGCGGTGTTCAAAGAACTGGCAACTGAGAGATGAAAATGCGGACTCTTCTCTGCTTTCCTGAGCCGGGGCTCTGACGGCGCCCCTCCCCTGAAGTCCACCTTCAAGGGGGTGGTCTCAGTCCCCCCCATTGGAGAGCTGCGCCCGGCCTGCGATGCCCAGGGTGGACGGAGCCTGCCCTGCGGACCCTGAGGGTCTAGCGGTCGGAGGAGCAGCCGCACGGGGACAACTGGCCCTTCCAGACGACGTCAGTTCCCTATGGGACTGAATCCGTCCCTCGAGCCCACAGCTAGTCTTCCATTCGGCCTCCTTGCTCCTGGTTTATCATCAGAGACGACGCAGTGGGATATAGCGCGTCCATGACGTCGTGGGCAGCCCTGTGCTGTGCTCACGGGGAGCTGTCCCCCAGGGAGCTGGGTGCTGCTGTTCACCCGGCCCCTCCCAGGACACAGCCGGCTGCCCGGCTCCCCACCGCTCTCCCCTCCGGGCCCGGCTCTGCTGACCCTCCAGGGCCCGGCTCTGCAGGTGTTTGTGGGGGGGAAAGCCCGTCACAGAGGCGGGTTCCTGCGACCGCATGGAAGCGTGCGTGTTTGGGGAGACACACAGGAAGCATTTCGCTCTGGGGTACCTCTCTGACATTCCAGAGCTTGTTCAAGAAGATTCCAAGAAGCCCCGAGGGGCACGGCCCGGAATCGGCGGTGCCGGTTCTGCACCAGGTGCTGCCAGCCCACCCGAGACTGTGGCTCTCCACAGCTCCCCACTCCACCGCCCACGGTGTCGCCCGGGGAGCCCAGGCCACGGGGGTTGGGATCACAGGGCCTCCCGAAGCCCCGAAGTGCAGTGTGCCCAGCATTTGGTGGCACGTCTCCACATCTGGACAGCTGTCTGCACTCTCCCCCTCCTCTCCCTTCCCCTCCCCTCCCCTCCCCTCCCATCCCCCTCTGGGCTGGGCTTTCTGTGCATCTCTGATTTCTTTAATACTGTGTGTTTCCACTGAAGGTAGTTGAGCACCAAAGTACAAAGTCCCTGTGGCCACTGCCACTGGGGCTTCCGAGAGCCCAGGCTGAATGAGGCCCATGGGCTGCCCGCACAGTAGCCTCCCAGCTGCTCAGGGCGTTGCCTAGGGCTGGGGGGGGCTGGCTCCTGTGGGGGCCCTGCCCTTCAGCTCCCTGTTGCGGCCTCGTGAGATCCACTGGCTGGTTCTGTGTGTTCTGCTCTTGCCCTGGGTGCGAGCTCCCTCCTGTGAGCGCTGGTGCTCCTGCCGTGTCCCTGCCAGCAGGGAGGTCAGCGAGTAGTCACAGTGCCCCCTGGGAGGAGACACATGAGGTGTATCAGGGACCCGTTCTTCTCTGACCTCTGGCCCTGCACACGCCCAGTGCTCTGCCGGAGGCTGATGCTGGGGGGTGGGGGGTGCAGCGGGCTGCCCTCTGTGCTCCGGGCGTGAGGCTGTGGGCTCACCTTTGTCCCCCAGAGCAGCCCCCAGAGGCGGAGGCCTAGCCCCGAGGATGTGGACTGAGTGCAGGGGGTGCCGTGTGGGAGGGACGCTCATGCCCAATCGCTGCGCGTTCCTGCCTCTTGGAGCGCGTTCCCCGGCCCTGGAGGGGAGCCCCCCCCCCCCCCCCGTCTGGGGCAGCACTGGGCCCCGAGCCGCCTCCCCAGGACACGCCCTAGAGGTGCAGAAGCCTCTGCAGGGCACAGGCTGTGCTCCTGGGCGCAGGGGAGGCTTGGAGAGGGGGTTCCGCACGTGCTCTGCTCGTCCCCCCCCCAGCTGGTGGGATGGGGGGAAGCAGAGGAGGGGGCTATACAGGCTACAGGTGTGCGGTTTCAGGAAATCAGGGAAAGCCGTGGTGCAGAGCATTCATGGTGACAAGAAAGGCGTCACTTAGAGGCAGGCGTGTGCCCACGGCTAGTGGGGCAGGACCGGGCCGTGGCGGTGGCTGCTCTGAAGGAACCGGCTGCCTTCACTGGGAATCGGAGCCACGTAACCACCAACTCGCAAATGCCGTCCCACCTCATTTCTCGAAGGCCTCCCCCTCGGTTCAGGACCGAGTCGTTCACAGAAAAAACTATCTCGGGTGTCGACCGGAACTTCAGTTTCCGACCTGACAACCTTACATGTTGATGCCTCACAGGACAGAGGGCACTGGGCAGGCCGCTGGCCACGGGGTGGAGGGGGGAGGGGGGAGGGGGGAAGGGTGAGGGGAGGGGGGAGGTGAAGGGTGAGGGGGGAGGAGGTGGGGGTGAGGGGGATGGGGCGAGAGGGGAGCAGCTTCACAGCGGGGAGAGGCGGAGCTGGCGCTGCTGGGGCGGGAAGGGCTCCTGGACCAGTGCGGCCATTGCAGAGGGAGGAGCGGGCTGTTGATTTGCACGAGGAGAGGCGGGCAGCCCCGGGCTCAGGGCTGTGGCACCTGAGGGAGCCTTTAGCGCGAGTAGGGGTGGTTCCATCACTTGAGCAAAGTGCTTATCTGCAGATGAAGCAGCACAGTGCGCGTGTGCGGCAGATCAGAGAGGTTGAACAGGAATCACTTGGGGTCTGGAACAGATTAATTCAATTTACATTCTTTCTATCGGGGAAAAATGATTCTGTTTCGAACAAATCGCTTCTCAAACAGCCTTCTGGGAGGAACTAAGTTCGAGAAACAGGTTCCACTGTGGTAAGGAAACGTGGACCTGAGGTACGCGTCTCAGTCCCCGGCGAGACGCCTGCCCCTTCCCGAAGACCGCGCCTTAGACGGCCTCCGCCTTTGCCGTGCTGGTGCCACGGCTGCGCCACTCACCACCGTCTTCCTTCTCTCTCCTCCCCCTCTCAACCTGCCTGCAGCTCTGCCAACATCCCGGGGTACACGGGGAAGGTCCATTTCACAGCCACCCACCCGGCAAACACCCACGTTCCCGCCGCCGTCCCCTCGCTGGACTCGGAGGTGCACCGGTGAGTATGGCCCATCCGTCAATGTGCCGGGTCCCGGGGCGCCTCGCGATGGCTCTGCCATTACAGAGCAATTAGCTGCTAACAGGCAAGTCACGTGGTGTAAAGAATGGGGTGCCAGTCCCCAGGCACGGAGAGCTCGTCCCCACGGCTGTGCCGGGAGCAGCCGGGAGCTCCGAGCGCTCGCAGCGGGTGTCCGCCCCTGGGCTCCGCGCTGCACACCCCGGTCTGCGGACACTGCGAGCTGCGGACGCTGCACTCCGCTCCTCGGGGTGGCACCCGCGTTGCCAGCGGGAGGCGGGCTCTGGTCAAAGCCCTACATTTCAGACATTCTGCCAACTGCAAACACGAGACGGGAGGGGAGGGCCACCGACCCTGTTGTTCAGGCTGCTGGAGGAGCAGCTCATGGCCACTCGTTAAACCGCATCTGAGCGTCGGTGACGGCCTCGCCCCGAGACGACACGGCTTGGAAAACGCAGAAGCGTCCTCACCAGGGCAGCTGTGGCCCGGCGGCCAGAGAGACTCTCGGGCGCTGGGTGTGTCTGTCCACAGGACGGCAGTTCTCCGGCACAGGGGCCTCTGCTCCTTTAGGCAGACCAGTCCTTCGTCCGTCAGACACTCAGGAGCGTCCACTCTGGGCCGGGCACGCTCCGGGCACTGAGCCCACGGGCTGAGCAGAAACAGTCCCGCCTCCCCGGAGCTGAGCCTGATGGGGAGACAGACGGCTGGGAGGGCACAGTCCCCGGAGCCTCTGTGGTGCTGCAGCCGGCGATGCCATGGAGCCCCTGGAGGGGCCGGTGCGGGTTAGCGGGGCCGCAGAGTCCGAGCGCCGCCCAGGGGCTCCTGGGACCCTCAGAAAGGCAGCGGCGGGCGGGGTGCTGGGCCGGGTGCGGGCCACACGGCTCTCACTCTCATCGGCTCAGGCGTTCGCTGGCTAATCCTCACGCTCTTCCACGGGTCAGCCAGCGTTGACTGCAGCTGGGAATTCACAGGAGCCAGACCCAGTTTGCAAGGAGCTCACAGCCCAACAGGGAGCAAACACTAAGCATCTGCAGGAGGGGCGGGCGAATGCTACCCTGGCCGCCACCTCCCTTGCCCAGTGCTTCCTGCCGCCAGGCTCATGGAGTCTGTGCTCCTCCAGCACCGACCCAGCCCCGTGAGGGCACCTCCCACTGCAGATGAGGTCGATCGTCTGTAAGGGCCCAGGAGGCCTCAGGGGAGGGGCTCCCACAGGAACTCGGGGGCTGGCCGTGGTCTCACAGGTGCGGGGCCGGGCTGCCCATGGACAGGGCGTCCTGGCTCCAGGGAGCCCACCTCTGGGTGCTCGTGGCCAAACCATGGGTCTCTGGAGGACACTGTCAGCCCTGCAGCCCCGGTGCCACAGTGCGTGGGCACCTGGTCACTGTCCCTGCCGTGCGCGGCCTCGGCCGAGGGCATGGCTGCCGAGGAGGTTGCAGTGGTTGAAGGGAGTCGGCATGACACACGCCCACATGAGACAGGATGGACGCCAGGCCCAGAGAGGTGACCCCTCTGAGTCCTTCCCACCCTCAGCCCCCCACAGAGACTGGGAATCCCTGGGCTGTTCCGCTGCCTCTTGACAGCCTCCCCTCCTTTTAGCTGGGTTTTCTGTATTCTTAGCACCTACTGTAAATCTAGACACAGATCCTCAATCAGTACAACTGATTGCAGCTCAGCCAGTGTGGCTCAGTGGTTGAGTGCTGACCTATGAACCAGGAGGTCATGGTTCAATTCCCGGTCAGGGCACATGCCCGGGTTTCAGGCTCCATCCCCATTGTGGGGCATGCAGGAGGCAGCCGATGGAGGATTCCCTCGCCTCATTGATGTTTCTCTCTCTCCTCCCTTCCTCTCTGACATCAATAGAAATAATATTAGAAAAACAAAACTGATTGCAATATAATGCATGTAATGTGATAAATGGAAAAATGCAATAAACAAAATTAACAAAACAATGCACACAATGACTAATAACTTCTACTTTCTCTTTCTCGACGTCCTCTCTCTGGTACGTGGGCACCTGTAGTTGAGAGAGACGAGGTTGTGTCCATTATGCTTGTTGATGTGTTCATTTTCTTTCTCCTCCGTGTGTTTCAGCGTCTTGAGGAGAGACATGGCCGTCACCCTCTTCCGTCGCCAGGCACCGCTGTCCCGGATGGTCTCAACGGTGAAGCCCTACAACCCCTTCAACAACAGGAAGCAGACTATAGGCTACTGAAGAGCTGCCGTCCAGGGAGACTCCCCCTCGGCCGTGGGAGGGCTGTGCTGGGCCCTGCTGGGAATAAAAGACCGCGTGCGCTCTGACGGCGAGTGAGGTCTGATGCCCTTCTCTGACCGGGCAGAGGGTCGGGACGGAGGCCGTGGGTGGCCAGGCTCTGTGTGAGGAGAGTCCTTGTCGCGTGGGGCTGCCCAGCCTCCAGGGTCCTGTCCTGACCGGTGAATGCGGGTTTTAGACGGCAGAGATCATGGGTGGTCGTGAAGGCAGAGTGTCCAGACCAGAGTCCACTATTGTCAACTGTTGTCACTATTGACCAAGAGGGAAGCGGTGCTCTTCCTGCCGCATCGTGGGGACAGGCCCTGAGGAAGGACGAGCCTCCCTGGCCAGGCCCTCAGGCTCCAGGGACCAGCACCCCAGGCCCCATGGAGGCCACGCAGAAATGCCAGGCACGTCCACTGTGGCATCAGCCAGTGGCCTGGCTGAGACTTGCTCCAGCAGCACCCGCACGCCCACCTCCTGCCCTCGGCCCTCCCCCACGCAGTCTCCCCACTCGTTGCTCTCTCCTCTCCACGTGTGCCTCCAGGATGACACAGAATCAGGCCGTGTCAGGGAGTACCAGCACCTGGGAGAGAAAGTGCAAGCTCACAAGTGCATTCTAGCAACAAAGGGTTCAGGGTATCTGTTCAGCAGTATGGCGCATGTGCAACAATACGACGGCACGCTCCCCGTGACAGAGGGAGGAGGAACTGAGCAGATACAGAGATCATTTAAACCTCCAAGCACAGTATTGATCTTTTTCAATAGATAATATGGAGACAACTACTTGGAAATAAACAGAAAGGCAGATGCTGGCCTCCCTCGGACAACGAAAGTACACTGCTCCTGAGACACAGCTTTAGTGGAGAATTTTCCGTAGGTTACCTGGAAATTCAGGAGAATCTGTTTATAGGTGCGAGTAGAACATTTTCCAAGGAAGCAAGAAATCATGAAGAAAAAATACATTGTTAACATAAAAAATATACCACCCAAATTTTAAGACAAAGCTGTTGGGAAAGTATATCAGACAAAAGATTCATATCTATCTACACTAATAAAAGAGAAACATGCAAATTGGTGTCACTCCGCTATGCCACCAGCCAATCAGATGAGTATGCAAATTAACCCAATAAAGATGGTGGTTAATTTGCATATGCAGGCAGGGAGTGAAGACTGAAGACAACATAGAAGGAAGCCAAGTGCTGCAGAAGGGAGTGAAGCTGCGGAAAAGCAAGCAGGGCGGGAGGGAAGCAAGCAGGGCGGCGGAGGCGGGAGCGAAGCCTGCCTCGGCGGGTTTTGCTCCCTTCTCTGCTTTGCTCCGGCCGCAGGAAGCCCTATTCTTGCAGGAATCTTCCTGCACCGGGCCTCTAGTATATATATAAAAGCCTAAGTGACTGTTACAACTGGACGATCAGCCAATAGCTATGACGTGCCCTGACCCCCAGGGGGGCAGCTGCTCAATGCAGGAGTGCGCTCCCACAGCCAACCTCCCACAGTCAGCCAATCTCCTGCAGACCCTTCCCCGGCTGGCTGGCCCCCATTGGCTCCAATCGGGACTGAGCGAGATGGTCCCAATCGGCTCTGATTGCCGGCCAGGATGAGGGACCCCACCCGTGCACTAATTCGTGCACTGGGCCTCTAGTGTTTATTATAAAAACAGTCCATGATTTACAAAACAGCACCAACAGAAACAAGGCAAAGGATACCCACAACCACCTTTATAGATAACAGGAACGGCGACCAGCATTGCTGCACCTCAGGAGCCGTGGAGCAAAGCCTGCCCTGTGGTGGGGCCGGAGCAGGGCCAGCTTCATCCCCACAGACACCACACCTGCCCCAGGGTCACGCCGACGTGTCCTGCACTCTGCCAGGAGCGCGCGTTCAGACTTCGCAACTTAACTTCCAGGGTTTCGCCAAGCAAGCAGCCTCCCCAGGGAGCACGTGTGTTTGCATAAAGAAGCAGAGGCACAGGCCTTATAGCCGAGAGGGAGGGGAGCGAGTGCTCATCAGGAGGAAGGAGCCCACTGCTGCACCGTGTGCAGAGACGCAGCACCTGTACTAGGAAGGCCCCGCGAGCCCTGGCCGGCAGCTCCGCTGTCGGAGGTCCCGGCACCAGAGGCTGCAGGCTCCGGGCGGGCACACACCGAGGCTGCGCGTGGCTGCCGCTCAGGCGCTTGTCTGTCTCGCTCATGCCTGGTTTTGAGTGGACGCACAGCTGCTGTCCTCACAGCGGTTCCATGTCCCCGACAGACAGCTGCCCGGCTGCAGGCCGACCTGCCAGGCCACTGCTCCTGCGTCCCCGGGCCCAGGAAGGGGCTGTGCCAAGCCGCCTGCCCGCGGCCGCCCGAGTGGTCCCACTTGTCACCTGTGGACGGAGCAGCCTGACTTCCCGGCTCTCGCGCTCTGCAGACCGAGCCTGGGCTGTGGGGGCGTGTCTGTGGGCAGTGTGCTGAGGGCAGACAGAAGGCGGGCGGGGAACTCAGCCTGGAGAGCCCGGGAGGGTCTGTGTGGAGGGAGCCCCAGTGCGGAGCCCCACAGCACTGAGAGCTGCAGGCCAGGTCTCCAGGTGGCCGGAGGGGCAGGCGCTGGGAGAGTAGCCTCGAGGAGAGACAATGGGACTCTGGGTTGGGGGTAGCCAGAGCCGCTGAGCGACCTGGGTACTAGTTTCTGCAGGGAAGGGGGCATTTCCAAACCCCACTCGACACGCTGGGTGTGCGCCCCCTGCAGTAGCGGGTCAGGGCCACCCCCTCTGTACTCGGTTACCTGAGGGCATACAGCAATACATCTCCCTGAGGGTCCTCGGAGTCACAGCTGTGAGGGCCGTCCTGCGTGCTCGCTGGGATGTCAGGAGGCCCCTGCGAGTGATGGCTCCGGCTCGGGCTCCGACGCTGAGGCCACGCTGAGTTTCCCAGTCCACAGCCACCACCCACGCTGGGGGCAGCCCGGTGTCAGGAAACCCTGGCCCTTGGCCCCTCTGTTCCCAGGACTCAGTGGCCTCACTCGGACCCAGGCTCAGGCTGCGTGTCCACCCGCGCCGACCTCCACACATAGTGCCAGCAGGTGAGCGGGGAGGGTCACGTCTGCACAAGCAGGCAGGCCCTGCGGGGAGCGTGCCCCCCCCCCGCCCCCCCAGACCACGAGACCAACGCGGGTGCCCTGCCAGGTGTGTCTGCTCCGTGACCTGTGGTCAGATACGCCAGCTGTGTCGTCCTGGCAACCTGAGAGTGGGGCTTGGAGGGGAGGGGGTACTCGCTACGGCGCAGCAGACATGGGTCTGAACCGTCTGTGAGACTGAGATCAGGGAGGACCGCTCTCCGCAGACCCTGCCCCCGCTGCCTCTTCCGAGTTGCCCCTGACCGCGGTGCGACATGCGGCCCAGGTTCTGGCTTCATGGTTTTGCTGTTTAAAGGGACGTGTCAGCTGCCACCTGGTAAAGGTCATGGACTATTAATACACGTTAGAGCGGCGGGCAGAGCCTCAGTGGGGCAGTGTGCAGGGGGGGGGTAGGCAGTGTGCGGGGGGGGAGGGGGGCAGTGTGTGGCGGGGGGGCAGTGTGTGGGAGGGCAGTGTGCTGGGGGGGAGGGGGGAGGCAGTGTGTGGCGGGGGGGCAGTGTGTGGGAGGGCAGTGTGCGGGGGGCGGAGGAGGGGGCAGTGTGTGGGAGGGCAGTGTGCGGGGTGGAGGGGTGGGGGAGGCAGTGTGCGGGGGGAGGGCGGGACAGTGTGCGGGGGGGGGGGCAGAGTGTGGTGGGGAGGCGGCGGCCCAGTGGACTGTGACTCTCCCCGAGTTGCCTCCTGCGGAATTGACCAGCCGCAGGCCCAGGCCCGGAGCCGGCCTCATCTCGTCCTCGGAGCAGTGGGAGCACACAGGGTCGGGGCTTCCCAGGGCCCCTGAGAACCGGGACAGGCCAGCGGTGTCCCAGGCAGGCGTGGCCCGATGACCGGCCTCACCGGTGCTGGGGACAGCCAGCGGCTCCTGCAGGAGCGTTGGAGGGGACCTGGGCCTCCCTCTGTCCCAAGGGGCTGTCTGGGGCCACTTCCACGTGGGACCCCCTGCAGCACACGGATGACTCCGTGTCGCGAGGACACTGGCCGGCCTGGGCGGCTCTGATCGTCTGTGCCGGGAGCTCAGCTCTTGGCCCCAGAGCCACGGAGGCGCCCCTGCCCCTCGGATGGGAGCCGGGCATCCCACGCCAGCCCCGCCATGAGGAGAGAGCACACAGTCCCGGGCACATGACAACGATCCACGCAGAACCACCGCTGCTGCTGAGTCACCTGCCTGGGGTCAGACCCAGGCTCCCCGCCCCGGGCGTGTGGCCTCTGCGCAGCCCACAGCCCTCCCCACCCGCCCAGCGCCTGGCCTACCCTGCTCACCATGCCCGACGGCGCCACCGTGGCCAGGCCCCCGCCGCCCAGGTGAGCAGTGCCTGGGACTCGCCCAGGCGCCAAGGAGCAGCAGGAGACCCCTGCCTCGGAGCGGATTGTCCCAGCAGCCCCCCAGGACACCGTGGGGCCGGCTGCCGAGCCAGCAGCCCGACAGGGAGGCCGGAGGCCAAGGCCATCCCGGGACCCGACCTGACCGCTTTGTCCAACTTCCCCAAGTCCCTGCTCTCCCGGCCGCCGTTAGAAAGGGGTTTTGTGTCTAATAAATTGCTTCCACTTGGCGGAAAATCACTTTGGCCCTTATCTCCGCCATCGCTGGCTTCTGCCGCCCGTAATGGACGCGCTGATTATCCGGCGAGTCATTAAAGCTCAGCCCCACACAATGCTGCTCCGTCCCGTGATCCATGAGGGCTTTGTGGGGGCTCACCGGCCGCAGCGTAATTTTCCTCATTCGTCTTAATTTTTTGTAATCGTTTTTGTGAAGAGGGTATAATGTCAGGCGTGCTTCCCGGCCGCTGACAGATCCAATCTGCAGGTAATTACCATACGGAACTGATGCTGTAGCGCGGAGAGAATTTAATTTACACAGACATCCCGCCGAACAATGCGT